CTGCTTCACTGTTTGTCCAAGGTACCTCACTAGTACAAGTGATGAAACTTCTTCAAGCTTCTACTACAACAAAATGTCCAGTCAAGTGTAGAATCTCAACCAAAAGGGCAACTCAGAATCTGGCACAATAAACATTTGGAGCACACTAGCAATGCTGGCCAGAATTCAACACACTTCTTCAGCATGTTAGTGTTTAATGCCCCTAAAAGTTCTAAGTAGTTTAGTTAGAACACAAGTTCTAATTAAGTATTCAAGTTAGAACACAAGTACGTACTAGCTTAAGCATTCTAGGTAAAATCCAAGTGCGGTTTGGGATGCGCCTCAGTTGTTCTAATAGTTTGTGCTACCCATTGAGCAGTCATGTGCATATCATTAGCATAGCAGAGTAACCTAAAGTCTCTGTCAATTTCATGCTGGTCTCAGTTGGTTTATTCTGGTTGGGTGCTAGTTAAGCTGGTCACCCAGCATGGTCATGATGGTTGACCAGCATACCAGCATAACACCTAAACACAATATAGGCTGGTTTTGCTGGTGATCAGCATATTAAAGTGGAACTGCACAGATTTCCAAAATGTGTGCATAATTAAATGGTTAAGATGTAAACAAAGTCATCCACAGTGGCTCGATGTGAAACGCTCTGCTCTAGAGAAACTTATCGAGTTGGAATTGTTCACAGTGGTGATAATAGGAACCAGACGTCTGAAGAGTTTAATGCCTCCCTCACAAAAATGTATTACGTGAAGTGGTTATGAATACGCTGCCTGATGTCTGAGGAATTGTTTTACTAAAGTTCTCAAATAAAAATTTGGCCTATAACATATGTTTTTAAAAGCCATTTATGCCTGTACATGTAGGGCACTGTGTGGGAAAATAGTTGCCAAAGAAAATGTATTTTTCCAGATTTACTACTATTTTACCACAAACAACATCACATATAAAAAATCAGATGATACGTGTTGGTTGGCTGGTTTTGGAGAGTAAATAAAATGGCAATTTTGCACTGTAGACAACACAGCCACTGGGTCCAATCACCACCTCTGTAAAGAAATCTAAGTTGGCAAGTTTTACATCAAAACAGTCTGAATGACTTTGTTTACATCTCACTGAAAAAATCCCCCTTTAACGTCCATTAGACCCGATGACTACTTTAGTCTAAACGAAGCCACACCCCCAGGCTACAGCTATGCACATAGCCCTCGTTTAAGCGGCCAAGGTGGAGGTATAGCAACCATCCATACTAAAGCTTTAGGCGTGAGGCAGAAAGTAGGCTATACATTCTCTTCTTTTGAAGTTCTTTTTCTTAATATAAGTGATCAAGGAACACATAAAAATTCCTTTACACTAATTACAGTCTACAGGCCACCAGGGCCGTATTCTCAGTTCTTACAGGAATTCTCTGAGTTTCTATCAAGTCTAATAACGCTTTCAAATAAAATAATAGTTGTCGGAGATTTTAATATCCATTTAGACAATCCCCAAGATGCACTACGCAAGGCATTTATATCTATCATAGACTCCATAGGTTTCACCCAAATCATAAAGGGGCCCACACACTACCACAACCACACTCTAGACTTAATACTGACTTTTGGTGTAAACATAGATAACTTAGCCATTCTCCCCCAGAGCACAGCAGTCTCTGACCATTACTTAATCTCTTACGAAATTCACTTTAGTGGTAATGTGCGTTCATCACCATGTTATTGTGTCAAGCGGACAATAACTCCCTCCACAGCTGGTGGCTTTATTAGAAACCTTCCTAAATTATCAGCCGCTCTCATCTGTCCATCTAATCCTACTGAGCTAGATGCTATGACCAAGCTCTTAGAGAATAGTTTTCGATCTACTCTAGATAGTGTGGCCCCATTAAAAAGTAAAATAGTAAGGCAGAAAAAACTCGCCCCCTGGTATAATGACAACACTCGGGCTTTAAAACAGAACGCCAGACAACTTGAGCGTAAATGGCACTTGACTAAGCTAGAAGTGTTCCAGTCCGCCTGGAAGGAGAGCCTTACAGACTATAGACAAGCACTTGCTACAGCACGCTCAGCTTATCTCTCCTCTCTCATAGAAAACAATAAGAATAATCCTAGATTACTTTTCAGCACAATCTCTAAACTAACAGAGAACAAAACAGTTAGTGAACCCCAGATGCCATCAGCCTATAACAGCAACGATTTTATGAATTTCTTTAGTGATAAAATTGAAAAAATTAGGCAGAAAATTCAGAATACGCAATTAAACTCTAGAAACCTGCTTCCCCATAATGCCAGCCTGAACCTTGAAAATATTATAATTCCTGCAGAGAGGCTGGAATCGTTTACCTTACTCCAAGAAAATGAACTATTTAAAATAGTCTCTTCCGCGAAATCATCTACCTGTATGCTAGATCCGATTCCTACAGGTTTACTCAAGGAAATTCTGCCAGAAATAACCAAGCCTATTCTGTCAATAATAAACTCTTCTCTTAGCCTTGGGTACATCCCAAAATCTCTTAAACTAGCAGTAATTAGACCGCTGATTAAGAAAGCTAACCTCGATCCATGCGAACTTTCAAATTATAGACCCATCTCGAATCTCTCCTTTATATCTAAGATCTTGGAAAAAGTTGTAGCAAAACAGTTAAGCTCCTTTTTACATAGGAATCAAATACATGAAAAATTCCAATCTGGTTTTAGGCCACATCATAGTACAGAAACAGCACTAGTAAAAATTGTAAATGATCTATTATTATTTTCTGACCAAGATCATGTGTCCTTGTTAGTCCTCCTCGATCTTAGTGCGGCATTTGACACAATAGACCACACTATCTTACTAGACAGACTAGAAAACCTTGTAGGGGTAACAGGAACAGCTCTTTCCTGGTTCCGGTCCTACCTCAATGATCGGTATCAGTTTGTTAATATAAACTGTCTAATTTAACACTTAAACTTAACAATTTCTCAGTTGCATCAAGCTCATATGTAAAAAACCTTGGTGTCATTATAGACCCTGATCTGTTCTTCGACACACATATAACTAATATTACTAGAACAGCCTTCCTGCATCTCTGCAATATTGCTAAATTGAGAAATGCATTATCTCTACAGGATGCAGAAAAGTTAGTTCATGCATTTATTACTTCAAGGCTAGATTACTGTAATGCCCTGCTGGCTGGATGTCCCAGCAAAAGCATTAACAAGCTTCAGCTAGTCCAGAACGCTGCAGCCAGAGTTCTTACAAGAACCAGAAAGTTTGACCATATCAGCCCAGTTTTATCAGCCTTACACTGGTTGCCAGTAAAATTTCGGATTGATTATAAAATTCTCTTGCTGACTTATAAAGCACTAAACGGACTCGCCCCGCTGTACCTGAGTGAACTTCTCTCTCACTATGAACCATCCCGCCTACTTAGATCACAAGGTGCTGGCTTACTATTAGTACCCAGAATTAATAAAGTTACGTCAGGGGGGAGAGCTTTCTCATACAAAGCCCCCCAGCTTTGGAATAGTCTTCCTGTTAATGTTCGGGACTCAGACACAGCCTCAGTGTTTAAGTCTAAGCTAAAAACCTACTTGTATATTCAAGCCTTTGGTAATTAGTTTTCCCTGTTAGTTCTATACCTGCCAGAGTCTCTGCTAACACTGTAATTTGTGATCGGTCACCCATTACAGAACTAACTCTGTGTGTTTTCCTCTCTGTGTGTTTTCCTTTCTTTTCTTCGCCGAGTTGAACAGCTGCCCATCCTGTGCGTCTGATGCTGCTGCCTTTTCTGCCTCGATCGGGTGCCACTGCTCGCCAGCCCTCTGGACCGGGTTACCAACATTGAGCCTCCTGCTGTACAACGCCGTGCAAACCTCACCCTCACAACCTGACCCCACTGATACTACTGCTGTTGCTGCATGAACTATTCAAAATTATTCACTTGAACCAATCAATCATTCAAACTAATTCAAATTAATCAATCACCCATTGACTGTGTTTTTCCTCTCATTCTTTTGCCGAGTTGAACAGCTGCCCATCCTGCTGCTGATGCTGCTGCCTCTGCTGCCTTGATCGGGTGCCACTGCTCACCGTGCAAACCTCACCCTCACAACCTGACCCCACTGATGCTGCTGCTTCTGCTGCATGAACTGAACTATTCAGATTAATTGTTTCCTTCACGTTTTACCCTGTTTTTGTACTATAATACTTTATACTAACAATGTTTACTATCCGGTGTCGACCAGAGGAGGATGGGTTCCCCTTCTGAGTCCTGGTTCCTCTCAAGGTTTCTTCCTGTTTCTCTTAGGGAGTTTTTCCTTGCCACTGTCGCCACTGGCTTGCTCATGGGGGCTCGGACCCGGACTTCTTTTTGTAATGCTCATTTCCTTGTAAAGCTGCTTTGTGACAACACCTGTTGTAAAAAGCGCTATATAAATAAACTTTACTTACTTTACTTACATTGCTGCTGACTGGCAAATCAACATCCAAAACACAATGTATGCTAATTTTGCTGGCCAGAAGCAATTTAAGTTAAAGGGGAATTCCACCGATTTTTTCAAAATCTCTGTATAAATTTGTGGTCTATGCTGGTTTTTGTAGCAGGGGTTTGAAACGTTTTCTTGTTTTTTTTATGTTAGGTCAGTAGAGACTCTTTAGCTATATTACTACTAATCCCCTGATTAGGTGATTTAGGCTGACAAAATATCCTAATAATTATTTCAATGTTCGTAACATGTTCTAATAAAGAGATGTATGCTCTCAAAATATCCTACCTGTAGTTTTGCTGCTGGTAGCATTCTCTGATGCGGTGGTTTAGGCTATCCAAATATCCTATCTAAAGTTCTAAGTGGAGCACTACCTATAAATACGGGCTACAGTAGGACGTTTCGACACGGTAACCCCGGTTTCTCTGGCAACCACGCAGTTTCGATGATCTTGTAATCATACGTCCCTAACCCGCAGTACTGAGTTAGCCATGTGTATGATTTGTAGATCTCACACACTGACGCAAGCACGGCTAATAACGACGACGGCCGAAAGAAAACCGAAACTCTCTCTGTGGCATGTAAACTTTGAGCTATGACAGAACTTGTGGACATGAAACTACTCTCCTTTTGCACTTGACGGCAAACAGCACACTAGCACGCTGTCAGCTTGTTTTCCGAAGGGGTTCGAGGACAATATCAGCCACTGTTATGTCGCGAGTGACATCTGATTTGGAGTATAAAACACTAGCGGAGGTGGGTTTTCGCGTAATGTTTACGTTAGCTGGCTTAGCTAAGCGGCTAACCCGGCTAGCTAGTTTGGTTCACAAGGTTGTAGCAGCTTAGCTTGATGGCTCCAGAATAGGACGACTTGCTAGACAGACAAGCAGTGGTTTTGGAGGGCAAGGCTAGCTGTAAAACAAACGGTTTGGCTGTCAAATAGCTGACTGACGAGGCTGAAGTTGGATTCCTATCCGCCAGGTCCTTGTTCGAATTGTCCCGTTCCACCTTAAGTGGTGCAGCAGTTACATTCTGGCGCTTAAGGCAACATTTAAGGTGGAACAGGGAAATTCAAATTAGAAGCTGGGGAATAGTAAGCCAGCTTTGGCCTCGTAAATAATTTGCTATTCAGAACAGAAACTGGTAACTAGCCTGAGAGGCTGAGGCTTGTTGTGTGTTTAACCGTCTGACAGGAATACTAATAGCTTAACTAGTTGGCGATGTCTCCATTTGAGACGGCGAAGCTCCTCATCCAATGCTTGATATCTCTCTGTGTGAATGAAGGTCCTATGTGGTCTTAAAGGGGCACCCTGGCCAAAATTTAAAAAGTAAAATGGCTAGATCTGTCGTAAACATGCCTGCTCGCCTCGAACAGAAGTGGCACAATAGTCTTAAGAGGGCGATTTTCTGGTTAAAAATTGGAAAAGCCTCCTCTGATGATGCATTTTGAAGGTGGGAGCCTCTAAGGGGCCGTGGTTAAAAAAAAAGTAATGACAGAAGTAGATCATTGTATTCCCTCGCGATAATTTAGTATTCCTTTGCAAAAGCAAATGCAGTGGATTTTTCAAAGTACTGCAAAACGTCTGCGAGGGAACGCAAAATGGCACTTTAGGGGTCCCGTAAATATTCGAAGGAGCAGGCTGTTAGATTTGTCCCCCCCAGCTCGTTGGCTAATGTAGAAGGAAGGCAGATAACGTTAAGAAAACCACGTCTGCCTTTATTAGCCTCCACATCGGTGGATTTTTTGTTTTATCACTGTGGGGAAGGTTTCCAAATGATTTTATGATGTCCGTAATGCATGCCGGGTAATGTAGTGAGGAGACGCTAATGGATGCAAATCCAACAATTGTGAATTCTCTCAAAGTGATGAGGCTGAAGGATGCAGTGTCTATGCTGCACAATGTTACGTAACATGACAGATAAGATTAAATGTTAGTTTTAGGCCCGAGTACACTTTTAATAAACACATATCGCTGTTGTTGGAAGAAAACCTCATATCTCCAAAATGGTAATTTTACAGGAGAAGGAAAAAACCTACTTCACTTTTAATGTAAGTCAGTGGAACCAGAACTTTTTCCAAGTCATTTCGGGTCTTTTCTTTCATCATGAAATTTACTTACTATGTAAAGGACAACAGGTATTCAAATTATGTCAAAAACTGAAAAATGACAAAAATGGAGATACGAGGTTTTCTCCCGGCAACAGCGATATGAATGTCTTAAAATTGCTGTTATTTATCAGGTTGAGAATGCTGAAACGTGTTCTCTGGAGTGATGGAGCACCTTTGAGTACCTTTGGGATGAGTTGTAGTGACTTTTGTGATCCAGATATAATCCAACATCAGTACCTAACCTCACTAATGCTCTTGGGGCAGAATGCAATCAACTTCTCACAGCAATGTTTCAACATCTAGTATAAAGCCTTGGCCAACTCACAGTAAATACCCTTAATTTCAGAAGAAAGCTGGATGAGCAGACTTCTACAAACATTTGGACATGTAACATCTAAAGTTTTTCAGGAAATAGTAGTTTGTGGTGTGGCTTGATACCAATGTGTAGATCATTTCCACAAAAATATATATTCCAGCAAGAGACTGTCTCTCTGTTTACTTGCAGTGTTTTTATTGATGCAATATATATAATTCATGTGGACATTATGTACACAAACCGTCACTTTTTAATGTAAGTACCACTTTTAAAGCTTTCTTAGCTGTGACTAAAATCTCACTAAAATGTGACGGACGAGCAGAACTTTGAACCTCCCATTGGCGCAGTCTGCAGAGAAAACTGAAAGCAATTTCTTTTCTTCGTCAAGCACAGGCCCATGTCACAGTCTGATCAAGCTGTCACAGAAAGCGTCTGAGGCTGATCAGGGTGGTTTCACCCAGGAAGCGACCGGTTTTGCGGCTTTGTAACTTGTTTGCTTGCTTGTCTGCTTGTTTTTTTTTCAAGTTTTCTCATGATGTTAGTCTTTGTCAACAGTGTAACTATTGCTTCCCAGCGGAAGTTCTGGCTGATGTCAGGGAGGTCACATCAGCTTTTCCAGATCTGCAGCTGCATGTGGACTATTACTGTAAGTTTGGATTTTATGGCTTTTGTGTAGTTGTTCTTTCCTCCGTTTCTTCCTCCAGCTTCCAGCACAGCATTTTAAAGAAGGACTATTTAACCTCTTTAATTCCTCGGGACCACCGGTGGTTCCAAAACGCACTGTCATATTCTTTACTTCATAACTTTCATATTTTATGAGCTGCATTCAAAAGGTGGGTGTCATATGAGAGCTGTAACTGTCTTCTTTCCAGTCAAATAGATGGGTAATGTAATTTTAAAACTTTATTATAAAAGAAGCCGAACTTGCAATTTTTTTTCCTACTGAAAGTCGACCCATTTTTCCACAATTCTGAGCTAGAAACTGGGTCTCAGATGGCGTCTCTTCAGTGATCTGCTCTGTAAAAATTACTTTTATAAAAAAATACAAAGAGCGTCTAAGATTTTTGGCTTTCAGCAGTAAATTGTAAGCATATAACATTATGTGTATGATCATAAAACACATTTTCTGTTAATTTGACGGGAGCTTTTACATTACAGTCATTTCATGCAGGTACTGAGTAATTTGTCTTACGAATTGGGCATTTAAATTCAGATGGAAAAACCAAAATATACCTAAGAGCATAAGTGGTTTTAATAATGTGTTTAATATTTTGAATGTCTGATTTTTGGTTGCAACTAGCAATTGATTTTTCATCCCACTATTTTTCAATTTAATGATTAATCTAGCAATTATGCCTTCTGCTGATTACTCACTGTGCCTTGTACAGCTCTGTCATCATTCAGTTCTACATGTACAGCAAGCAGTTTCTTCTGTTATGGTGCAGCTAAAGAGTAGCCATACGCTTGCTGTAGTGTATTGCAATCTGTCCAAATGACCTTATGTCTCGTATGACCATAGAGACCCCAGCTATTGGCCACCTCAAAACCAAAATTTGGTAATCTAAGGTAACTGTAAATAAAGAAAGCATTTTGCTTACACAAATGACTGTATTTCAGGAGAGATATGTGTGTAGATTAATGTCAGGGACCTGTTTGACTCTCGAAGAAAATATTTATTTTTTTCGGTAATGACATTTCGTTTACTTTGACGCTAATATTACTAGAATGATGGGCGCTGCCAAAAGAATGTCTTAATCTACTTGTTTTAATTAGACTGTAACAGTTTTTTATACAGTTATCATGGATGTAATGCCTAGTATCAACCAATATCTCTGAAACAAAATCAGTATTGTTGTGTGACACCAATACCAGTGCACCTGTATGTATCGTCCAATAGTAGCTAATACTTGCAGTCCTAATGTTGTAACGTTGGGATCTTTTTGCCTCTACAGATTATCCGAACAATGACAGAAAGAAGCTGGTCCATTTGCGTGGCACCGTCCCTATTGCGTATGAAGGTAATTACAGTGCCCACAAGAAACAGCACGTTTCTCCAACACCATATGTGACACAGCTCAGGAAATGTGATATTATTGGTTTCCAAGGTAACAAATACAACATCCCAGTGTGCATCTGGATCCACGAGACCCACCCTCAGAACCCTCCACGGTGCTACGTCTGCCCTGCCCCCTCCATGGTGATTAACAGCAGGAGCAGCAGTGTGGATGCCAAAGGCCATGTTCTTCTTCACTGCCTCAGCAACTGGAAGACTGTGAGTCAGCCATTCAGTGAAATAATGAAATAATGACTAATGCCTAATGAATTCTCAAAGAACAGCTGGAGTATAAGTACAAAAGTAGGAAAAGAAAAAAAACTCCACCAATTTTTTTTTACATTTCTGCATAATTCAGTTGTTGAGATGTAAACAAAGTCATTCAGAGGGGTTTGATGTGAAACAGTTAATTGCAGAGAAGCTTACCTTACAACTTTCTTTATAGTGGTGGTGATAGGAACTGGATGGCGATGTCTACAACACAAATATATCCATTTTATGTACTATTCAAATCCACTATTTAAACTACAAGTGACTTCTGATGGTAAAATAATCGCAAAAAAATCTTTGGCTTATAACATCCTGCATGTGTCTCTCCACCAACTGAATTATGCAAAGATTTAGAAAATACAGGGTGATTTAGAAAGATAAATTCGATTTCAAAATGATTTATTTCACTTGTAAATCATTACAGAACAATGCAGTAAATTGTAAATGGTTTAAATGAGGATAAAGTTCATTATGTAATTTCACAGTTGCTCAATTTGGCCTCCTCCAGCTGTACGGACAACATCAACGCCATAGTCAAATTCATCCCATACTCGATCGAGCATGTCAGGTGTTGCTGTACTCACGGCTCTTTCAATGCGATTTCGGAGATCATCTAGTGCTGAGCTGAGCTGTTGGAGGTTCACTTCCATGCCAACAGTCAGAAACTCTATGACCTCCTCTTTCAGTTGCTATGTGATTGGTTCCTAGACGCCTCACGGTTGTAAAAATATGGCGCTTTGAAATCGGATGAATCTTTTTGAATCACCCTGTATTGGTGGAGTACTGAACTTATAGAACTGCAGTAGACCTTCTTAGTACTTAGAACTTTTGTGTGCTTGTTAATCATCCTAAGGAAGGAGTGCTGTTCTTTTCTTTTTGATGCATTCCTGATTTAAAATAAAATGATAAAGCTGCTGAATGAGAGGTGTGGCCAATTACAAATATAACTAGGTTAAAATTAGATTTCTTTCCTTGCAAATATACCTGAGCCAAAGTAAAGTACACTAAAATAAACTGACATGAAAAAGGAGTTTCTATGATTTAGATGAGCACATCAGTTCCATCTCTGCATGTTTGCCAGGGTTGGTCCAACCTATCCATTGTCTTGGAGGAGATGGTTTCGGCATTTCAACGGGAAACACCCCTTTTCGCCACTTATCCAGTTAGAGCTGCCAAACTACCTCCTGGCAAAGAACATCCACCTGTGGAATGGCAGGATGGTCCCAAACCTACTTCAGCTCACGGCAGGTAGGGGCTGGTCGATACAGCAAAAATATTATATCACAATGCTGCAAGACATTTTTACTACACACAATATGCATCACGATATTCTGTTTTTTGGAGATTAAATATGTTGAAATGAACAAAAAAAAGCATGTAGGGCCACATCTGAAAAATATTATTGTAATAATAAACCTGCAACTATAATGACTTTACAGATTATATTCTGTTTAATGATTATTTTGAGTCCTTGGCTAAAATAAGGCTCCGCCCATCAGGTAAAACTCTGTTTCGCTGGTAACATAAAAACTATTTTGTTTTGTTTTTATTTAAAAACCAAGCTCATAATAAATCTAAATCTTTCAACTTTAAATGAAATCAAAAAGATCTAAAAAACCAAAAAAGTTAAGTAATACAAAAAAATGCGATATTTTCACAAGTTTAAGTTTATTGATTAGGGACATTTTTTTTTTTTACTTTTTTACTGTCTTGCATTGAAATAGATGATAACGTAATCTTTGTAAATATCTAAGGTTCAAAGAATACTGTTTTTGAAAAGTTATTTTTTATAACTGTGGGACCACAGTCTGAACTAATTGGGTAGTATGCTCCATGTACAGTCAGTGGTTCAGCTCCTCCATTATTGTTCCCCCGCACTCTTGTTCACACACCATGCAGATTCTTACAGTGGAGGCCCTGGAGAGGAACTGGATCTTCCCATTTTGCGGTTGCTTTTGTTAGTTTGCTACTTTTTGACTTTTCCATAGGTCTCCCGTGATCACTGAAAGTTCAGTCCACTGAAGGTGCTAAATGCATTACTTTAAAAGACATTTAAAGGCTGTATTTGAATGAGAGCACTACAATCGCAGATTCTATCATAGCAACATGGCGCACTCTGCAGCTGTGCTTCAGCCTGTACTACTACAGATTATGCTACAGATTATTAAGTCTGTCTAAATAAATTCATTAATATAGTTTAAAGGTAGTGCCATTAATATATCACAGACCTAATAAAAATATAAAATAGAAAAATTAAAAATGCCAAATGAAGTATAGTCTAGTAAGATTATTTCTTTGTTTTTTTGTTTGGCCTAACACCAGCACTAACTCAGTGCAGAGGAAGTCCTCTCATCCTGAAATGTCCTCATCATCAATGACCCAGTCTACCAGCAACAGTAAGCTCTCACTCACTATCCAGTGCCTGTTTTATATGGAATAGTTTCCTTGTTCCTTTTAAATCATCACTGCTAAAGTGCTCTGCACATTCCTTGAGCCTTACATGGTTACCAGCTTCACAGTGCTTTCGTTTTCAATTTCTCACTCACTGTAATGTTCCTCAGCTCTGCCCAAAAGTGCAAGGGGCGCAGGAGAAGGGAGCGGTGTAAAGCGATCCTACACACAGGAGTTGCTGGACTTTGGAATTACATTTGGCACGTCTGATGTCCAGGACAACCCTCCAACAAACCCATTCATCACCAGCGCCACTGGTAAAGCTTCGTGTTTTTTTTTTTAGGTTTTATGGAGACCAGAGTGAAATATACGTGGTCTACGAAGGCGTGTCCTTCGGAGGCTGCTTAGACCCGCAAAGGCTGAACCGAAATGAGACGGTCTTCCCTACGGCGGCACTGCTGTTCCCACGAAACCCCGCTCTTGTCATGTTATTTTAAGATCTTTAAAGATGAAGCCAGAAACTTTGATTTTAGTTGTTTATTTTTTTCATTTATTAGAGCTGGAGATGCTTCCCCGCCGGCTACTGATGAGATTTGTATCGTTAGCCATTCGCCTCAGTTTAAACCAAATACTTATATTTAAAAGTGAACTCAGTGTCGGCTGGCGAAGGATGCACCCGATGGATCCTTTGTTGCCGTGGAAAAGAAGGACACATTTCTCAGCTGCATATGAAGGAGACTTCGAAATGGGACAGCCAAGTCGTGCGGCTGTGATGCAGTCGGCCTTCAAATGCAGCCTCCGAAGGACGCAGCCCCTGAAATGGGACACACTGACAGAATACAGTGTCAAAGTTTGTATCTGTTTATAGATACTAGATACTTTAAATGATCCACATTATGAAAGAACACATTTTCCTCACTTGAACTCTATATATGGAAACTAAATGGCAAAAACACCTTGTTTTGAATCCACTGTTTTTGTGATGTCACCAAAAAAGCAACACATTTATATATGTCAACCTATTCAACCTACAGCAGTTTAGCCCTCCCCATTCACTTTGAAATTATGAGGAGTGTTTCAGGCTGGACTGCTTTCTGAAAGTGGCCTTCCAAGTAGAGCAAAGCTCAAATAAAATACAGGGAAAAAAGTAGGATATGGGCCGTTTAAATTAATTTAAAGTATGTCAGAACCTAATTATAGAACATTTTATTGTTTTTCAGCAGGGCCTAAGGTTCTGATTTAGTTTTCTTTGTTTTTTTTATCTGTGGTGTGCACAGCAAACGGTGTATCTCTGTGCTTTGCAAGATCGTTGTTTTGCCTTTTCTAGCTCCGAACACAAATGTCTCCAATCCAGATGACATCGACAACCTGTTTAAAAGCCTTCAGCTGGAAAGGGTTGTCAACATTTATCAGCTTGACCAGAAAGACAACGGTAAGGAACAGTCTCTTGAAACTACACGCTTTGATTCCAACACAGTTGGTACAGTAAGTAAAATGCAAATACAAGCAGAAAGTGGTGATATGTAAATCCACTTTGACCTGCGGTTAAATAAAACAGCACAGAAAAAACAGATATACGGTGTTTTACCTTATCAAGATCATAGTTTTTTGCAAATATATCCTAAATGGATGTCTGCAACACTTTTATGCAATGAAATGTTAAAAAGAATAGACTGGAGAAAAGACTTGAACAGACTGTACAATACACAGCAGTAGCCATATGTCACCAAAGCCTAGAGACTTAACTTTGCTACTATTGGTATCTAATAGTGACTATTGACTCTGTATTATATTTATTGTGAAGAATCCTCTGGGCCTATCTTGTGCTTTGTGAATATAGTTCTTGTGATCTATGTTCTTGTTATTACAAGATTTTGTTATTAAAATTACAAACAATGTCCAGAAACGCCCCCAACTTCTTTGGCCTCAAGCTCCTCTAAAATGGACTGATGCACAGAGGAAGTGTGTACTGTCATCTGATGAGTCCACCTTTCAAATAGTTTGTGGTAATAATGAACTGGGCCAAAGAAGAAAAGCACAATCCAGGTTGTTACCAGCGTAAAGTTTTAAAGAATGCAGAGAATGCAGGTGCTAAACTGGCCTGCCTGCAGTCCAGACCTGTTTCCTGTTGAAAATGCGTGGTGCATTATGAAGCATAAAATATGAGGCCCCCGTAAGACTTGTGCAACACTCAAATGGCAAAAATTCCGCTTTTAAAGCTGGATCAATTAATGTCTTTAGCCCCCAAACTATTATCAGGTGTTGTTAAAGGAAAGCTGATATAGCGCAGTGGTGAACATGCCCCGTTTATGTGTGGCAGGCATCAACTTTTTTTAAATTTGCAAGTATGTGTGTTGATATACAAGCAAGTTTTAATGTTATTATTGTTATTCAAAAGCAACACCTACTTTGCCCATTTGAGAAAGTAATTTGGCAAATATTTGTGTACTTGCCACAATGTTACCGCAGAGCATATGTAGCTTTAATAGTAATCATTACATTTGGTAACCTACATTTTGGTAGCCTCATTTCATGTTGTGTGTATCCCTAGAATTAGAAGATAAAATGATACTAAATACACATATTGCTGCATAAATTGTGAACGAATAAGAACTTCTCTGTACTCGTCCCCTTAAAGATATCCCACGTGCCTGGAGATGTGATGACAGTCGCTTTGCCCAGCCAGGGTTGTTGGATAATCGGCATAGGGTGTTGGTCAGCCGCCTCCCCACGGGAGTCTCTCCTAACAGGATGAAGAATAAGCTCACTATTTACTTCCAAAGGAAGCAGAATGGTGGAGGGGAGGTTGTGGCGGTGACATACCCTTTTGCCCTGCCAGATCAGGCCGTGATTACCTTCAGACACTACAAAGGTATTTGAGGAGATGAATGACGGAAATAGCAGGGGCATAAATCTCTGGCCTTTCTGATTACATTATGATTCTTTAGGAAACCATTCATAGTATCAGTACATATTAAATACCAGAGGAGTGTAAGTGACGTCAGACAAATTTTATAAGAGAGCAAAATTTTAGCGGTCTCTGTTTAATTTTGATCTTTAACGTCAAAGCTGTGGTCATATTTTAATGAAAAAAATGTTTTGGCATTAGATATAATGAGTGATAATTATACATTTGATATGTGTCTTTTTTGTCACTTACGACCCTCTGGTTCAGCAATTTGATTGAAATTCACAATTATTAAAAATACACTGGATGTAGATTGATGTAGATGTGATTGAAGGAACTATTTACATAGTAGTAAAATAAACAAGTAAACAATACATTTTTTTTTGTAGTTTTATGTTTGAAAATAGTTCAGAAAATAACAAATTATTATTATTGTCATTATTATAATTAGTATTATTATATTTATTTATTTTTTTATTATTGTTATTGACGCAGTTGGAACAAATGCGTCACAGTGGTTTGAAGCTTTTTTCCACCTCTATCAAATCCTGAAGTAGATTATAAGCACAGACTTTAATGTTCTTTAAAGGTTAACTAAGGACGCGTCCACGTGTGATTTTTTTTTTTTCTGTTTTTAAAAAATGTCCACAGCAACATTATTTTTGAAAATGTCTCTGTCCACAACAGAGCGCACAAACAACTCATGTCAGCTTGTGATCATGCCTCATAAAATTTAATGTCAAATGCCTCAGGAACAATATTGTGAACAGATGCATTGCACAACACATTGAGTGCAGAGCTGAAGAGATCTTCTATTTTGATTTTTAAAGTATATCACCGCCAGAAAATAAAAGCTTAAAAAGTAATAAAAATAAATACCTCATGCTGTGATGGGGCTTATGTTTTCATGGCTATATCACTGTCGCTGTAATGCCCACGCAGTCCTGATCAGGCGGACAAGTGGAGTTCTTCCAGATATCATAAGTCCAGTAGAGTTTTTTAAATGTGATTTTGGTTATTGATCACATATCTTTAGAATCATTGAGAGACTTTTAGTATTTGCAGTTGAATAGACACTCCATCTAAAAGAACCGTGGGCAGTAGGTTCTGGTGCCCATAAGCAAAGCAATTTGAGTTATAAACATGTTTTCAAGCTGTTTGTTGCAGAATATACTGAAACAACCTAGTTGTCAGTCACATTTACCAAGAGTTCTGCATGTTTGTTAAACAAAAACAACATGAACCACGTGCAAATTAACACTATGATGAAAACACAGAAATCTCCACCTTAGAGAGCATTTTCAGAAAGTTTTAAGTAACATAAAATGCCTGTGTTGTGTGAGCTGGATAAGTGTGGACAAGGCCTAAGATTCTTTCAGATATGTGGGTTGTTTTTTGATTAAATGCTGTCATGCTGCTATCTAATGATCTAATTTGTGTGAGTGTTTGATCCAGATGCAGAGCATGTCCTAAAAGAACCAAGACGGGTCATCACGGTGGACGAACAGCAAATTCTCATCCAGCTGAAAAAGTTTCAGGGTTCTCAGGTAAGTAGACTGCAAACGAGCTGACACACTCAGACACTTTCCTCCAGATTTTTCCTCTAACTTAGCGGCCTCCGCCGCCAGGTACCAGTCCCGGAAGGCATTGGGGGAGAGAAAGCCGAGATGTTCAGGAGCATCCTGAGCCTGGAAGGCTGCAGTTTCAGCCCTACCGACGTGCTGGAAGCGGTGCAGGCGTGCCGAGACCTCCCGTCCGCACTCAAATACCTCTCTCATGACTGCCCCATCTGCCAGGAACAGATGTCCTTCAGTAAGGTTAGATAACACTGAGCCCTTTCTTCTCAAAGTTCACAGGGTTGTTCTCAGTCATCTGGGGGGTTTACTGTTTCACCTGCTTTAGATCACCTGATCTGAAACTGTTTTGTTTTTTTTTTCAATGTTAAAGGAATAGTTCATCAAATAATGTAATTTACATCGTTTTTCACTTATCCCAGATGTAGTCTATGAGCCAAGACATGTTCGGCCCAGATTTTGCTTCTTTAGATTAGGAACTACAAAGGCTGATGTTGCTAACAAACAACAAGTCAATAGTCAGTCAAATCTTTTCCTTAAGAACAACTTCAAAACTTTTTTCAACCCATGCAAAATAAAGGTTCCACAGACTTGCTGATGTGGTTTAGAGCGCAGTGTGACTTACCCTAAGCTGTAAAAATGAACAAAACTTCATTATGTAGCCAAACACCGCAACTGGTTTGTGGTGTTCGGCTACATAACTGGACTGGTCTACACATGCACGCATGACACGCAGCTAAATGGACGTTACAGATTATGTTTGTGATTTCTGTTGTCACTTTTTATAAATAACTGTTAATCATGAATGTTCAAATTGAATATATATGTTTAAAAATGAATACGCAGAATTTTCTGCTCTAATCTAGTGTTCATATACCTGATGTGACGTGAAGGGGAGTTGGATTCTGGGGGGGAGGCAGAGGTCGGCACAACGCCATTGTCTAAGCGTTTGGCTATATGGTGAAGTTTTGTTTTATAGCTCACAGTGTCATACTATGATCTCTATGTTCTAAATTACAACAACAAGGCTGTGCAACCTTGACTGAAGACCTGGATACAGTTTGGCAGGTTGAGAGAAGTTTTTAAGATTCATTCACAGAAAGTATTTGGGAGACTATTGACTTCTAGTGTTGGTTAGCAACGTTAATAACAATAATAATAATAATGACAATAACAATTAATATGTTCAATTTATCATCAATTAACTTTTAATAAATGCAGGAATTTTACCAGCATTTTGGCATCAGTGTTTTGTTGAGCATAGGGCGGAAGCGTGCAATATTGTTAATTGTTTAAAGTTAGCCTCATAGCTCCCGCGCTAAAAACAGAAGCAACATTTGATCAACAATGTCTGGGGTAAGCAAAAAAATTGTGTACATTTGATATATATGTGTGTGTGTGTGTGTGTGTGTGTGTGTGTGTTTGTGTGTGTGTGTATATATATATATATAAGTCTTTAGCTTCTGTTAGTGAATGTGTATGTCTGTGTGTCTGCCCTGTGATGGACTGGCAGACTGTCTAGGGTGTTCCCTGCATTCCACCCCATGAGGGCTGGGATAGGCTCCAGAACCCCTGTGATACAAGAGGATAAGCCGCTTAGAAAATGTGTGTGTGTTAGATTGACATTTATTGAACGATTAATCGCGTACAACGTTTATTTATGTTTATTTGTTTTTATTCATTCATTCATAATTCAGACTTTAAGATGGCTGTTACTTTTGATTTTAGGTATGCAATATATGTTTGGTCATTTATATACAGTATAAATACATACAGTGTCTCAAACCACGTAGGCAAGTCTATATGAAACTGCTTAAGTGGTTTGAGATAAGTGTGTCATGATTTAGGAATGCAGTTTCAGAATGCTGATTTCAGTACATGTTGGCAACATTAGCCTTATAGCTTTAGTGCGAAACTAAAGAAGCAAACTTCAGAAACCAAACGTCTTTTTTTACATTTAGGATAATAAAAAAAAACATTTTTTAACTTAAAACCTTCTGTTAATCCAAGGCACAGGTGCATTGCCGCATCAGGACAAAAAATAGCTAAACCATTATCAGATCTTATCTCTAGGTAATACTGATGTATTTACTTCTACTGCTGCCACCCATGAGTTGAATCAGTTGTACTATATCAAAAAAAACACAACACAGCACAGCACTTGGATTCTCTAGGACTGAAACGAGACCCAATTCACTTAGTTATACGTTATAATCCTGATATTATAATTATCATGTGCTAAAATTAAGTGAGTAGTTCTTACTTTAATGTATTAGCCTTTTAAATGCTACACTCTTAAAAAAGATGGTGCTTCAGGGGTTCTTTAGTAAAGAAAATGGTTCTGTATAGAACCATTAGCACTCAAGGAGCATGCCTATAAGCATAAATGACTGATAGAGAATGTGCCATGTATAAGTTGTAGATGGTTCTATATGGAACCTTTTTGCAAATGGTTCTATATAGCACCCAAAAACGTTCTTTAGTTGTTACAATATCAAGCTTGTAACAATAGAGGAACCCTTTTGTGTGCTATATAGAACCGTCTATAGCACATTCATGCGCATTTTCCATCAAACTGAAGAACTGTTTCATGATGCAAAGAACCCTTTAATCATGCAAAGGGTTCTTTGAGTGATCATAGTTCTATATAGGACCATTTTCTTTACTAAAGAACTCTCGAAGCACCATTTTTGTCAGTTTTCGCGTCAGACATAAATTGAATCACTTAACTGATCAATTCAAATTAAAGTGAAACTCCTGTTTTTTCTTCTTTTCTCAGATGATCACCATGACACACTGCTCATGTACATTCTGTGAAAGCTGCTTCAAGGCCTACTTCTCATCCGTTATTAAAGAGAAGAGCATTGTCCATGCGGTTTGTCCACTGTGTAACCAGCCTGATGTGCGCGGGGCAGGACGCAGGGAGGAGTCCATGGAGTACTTCAGTCTATTGGACACGCAGGTGTGCAGGCCAGACTCTGCAGAGTACCTGGAGGTCACTGAATGTTTTATACCAGGGGTCATCATTTTTGGTCTTGAATAGAGCTTCAAATATTTGTCCAAACCTGATGGTAGTCAACTGCTGTTGGGGCAAATATGTGTCAGATTTCACATTCTGGATCACACAGACCACCTCCCACTTTTAACAGATTTTATCCTCCCCGCTTAATGCTTGAGATTTTCTTCTTACTTTATTCTTCGCTACTTAAATCGTTTTTAATGTGGTTCGCTAAAGTCATGAGAAAACAGGACATAAACAGTGAGTCGATTCAGGAAAGTTGTTTAGTGCAGCCAAAAGAATGTTTAATTTGTTTGGCCAAACGTATTTTTATGTTCAGGATGTTCTATGTAACGTGCTCTATGTGCAGAAATAGAGCTTTATTTTTAAACAGGTGAAGCAAAGCAGTATGGAAAGTTCTTCCGGACTATAAAGAATGTGCGATGCGGTTCAAAAGCATCATTTGGCAAAGATATTCATTAAAGTGGGTAAACTTATTTTTGAACAGCTGGTGATTTTATTAGAGAATATTATTTTATATTGTTTTATATTTTGTTCATCCCCACTCTAGTGATCCCTGGTATTTTCACTACATGGTAAGCAGCGCTGTCCTTCAGATGTTACCCCCTTGGTTTGTGATGAGTCAGTTTCGGACAGAATTTTATCGTACACGGGTCAGCTTAGTGTCAGCGTGTTGAATCTGCGTGTTCAGTGTGCTATCATGTTTTCTATCACTGTATAAAATATGCTTAATTTATTGTTGAATGCACTGTGGCTGGACCTGATGACCCCTGATGTAGACAATTACATTTTCAATGCCCAGGGGTCCACATGTGGTTCTGGAGCAGAATTAGATTTTTTGAAAAATAAAAAAAATAAAATAAAGTAAAAATAAAATCATCCTCCTTTGCAGTAAAATAAAGCTCTGCAGATCATTCAACACAGGTTTAACAATTAGGAGGCAAATGGATTTTTTTTGCGTTTGTAAACGCAACCACTCAGCTGGTTTCTTGATACGTTTAATCTGCAATGAGAAACTGTCAAACACTGAAAAGTTGTGAGCTTTTCGCTCACCAGCTTCTTGTTCCCGTTCCACCTTAAATGGTGCAGCACCTCAGGCATCATTTAAGGTGGAACAGGAAAATTTCGTAAAAAGTTGAGAGACATTTTATGAAAGACTATCCACTTTCAAGGTAAAGTTTCCTGCCAGAGATGGGAGAAAAGCAGCTATAGTTGAGCTAAAGCTTAAAGCAGAGCAAAATAAGTCTGTGTTTTTGTTTATATTTTTAGCCTATACTAGTACATTAGCACATACTTTACAGACAAGATGGTAAAATAGACATAAAATGTTGTGGCTCCCAAGCTGGTTTGATTTTTGCTAAAAGGCCAAAATAGCCCTTTTTTAACGTTTGGGTTGCTGACCCCCGGTGTAGCTGATCTTTCTGCATCCTTCTTCAAGCTCAGTTGTGCTTCTATTGCTCACAGATCAGGCATTATCTGGACCCCCAGACCCACGAGCTGTTTCAAAGGAAGCTGAGGGACCAGGCTCTGCAGGAGATGCCAAACTTCCGCTGGTGTGCTCACGTAAGCACTTCTCTTCCTCAGATTCCCGTACACCTACACTAAGAACCTTACATGTTTTGTATTTTAACATGACTTAGATTTTACTTAAAGTTTGTGGAGACCAGTCAGCACGATCACATTTACGTTTATGCTAGCTGCCCTCTAGTGATTATCATTCGCTATTAGCAACATTAGCATTTTTAGGTGAATGTAAATCTCTCTCTCTTTCTCTGTCTCCCTCTCTCTGTCTCTCTCACTCTCTCTCTCTCTCCCTCTTTGGCAGTGTTCTTTTGGGCTCCTCCACGAGGCTGACAGACTGAGGATGGATTGTCCCAGTTGTGGAAAGAGCACATGCTTTAATTGCAAGAATCCTGTAAGTACAGCTTCTGCAAGAGGCCAACGCTGCATGTTCAGCGTGCTAATTTGCAGTTACATCATAAAAGGACCCGTTCCACTGATCGCGCGAGTTGTTTTGTTAATGATGGATGAAAGTAGTTATGAAAGTTATGAAGTAGCATAATGCATTTGTGAACTTCTTGTTTTTGTTCATTTTTAGCCTCACCAGGCCTTTTTTGATCATGCTTAAGGTGCTGTTTTTCTATTCTCTTTCATTTGGACATCTTCATTCATTACTGAATGCCTGTGTTGCAGTGGGCTCCTCAACATGAAGGACTTTCTTGTGAGAAGTTCAGAGAGTGGCAGCTGCTCAACAGCCCTGAATATCAGAACTCGCGACTGGAGCTTCTTCTCAGCAGGAACAAAATAGGTCTGATACTAGCTACTAAACCCCCATGATAATAACCCAGGTTATTTGCGGTATGTAAGTGTAAGGGTCCAGCCCTCTGCTGGCTGCCGGCGGTGGCAAGGTGCCCAGCCTGCACCACCAGCCGCCAGCGGAGGGCGACGGCAGCAAGGTACCCAGCCTGCGCCGCCAGCAGAGGCCAACAGTGTCAAAGTGCTGTAACTTCAGGGAACTCCAATTCCCAGAAGCCCTCGGGCTGATTAGGCCCAACCTGACACACCTGTGGACTCCTGTACTTAAGGCTGTGGCAAACAGCAGCCCTTTGTCACACCTTTGTAGAGGGGTGACCAGTACAGTACACAGCCTAGGTGGGTATTTAAAGAAAAAGAAAAGAAAAGAAAAACAAAAAGAAAAGAAAAAACAAGAGAGTAATTGCCCCAAAACTACTCACTAACTGCTTCAAGCCATACAAAAGGTGTTTGCTCCACTAAGATCAAACAAGTGAAACATTAAGTCTGCCTTCCCCTCATAATTACAGTGGAAGTGTCTTTTGTTTTCTCATCTTTTATTTCAAGTGTCTAGTTCAGCCTTTGTTTGAACACGCTGCGGTCAGCATTTCCTTTGTTTGCCCTTTTCTCCACCTTTTTATTTCCTGTCCCTTGAGGTGTTTTACCCATTGTCACCTGTGCTTCCCGGTGGCGCAGCGTTAACTCCACGGGCCGCCAATCAGTACCTGGCCCTGGGGCACCTCAGCCCCAACGTGCCAAATTCACATTACATTGCCTCAATAAATTTATTGAACATCCTTTCTCATCTTTGCACTTGGTCCGCCTCCCTGCCGTCCTGTAACAGTAAGTTAGAGGTGGGCAACATGAAAATATTTTGACATTTTTGTTGATTATTGCAGTGAAAAGAAATGATCACAACCTCTCCAGCAAACAGTTTAAAAAAATTAAGATTTTTTCTACAGATGTAAATGCACAGTTACTTTAAATTTGATTAACATATTAACTTAAAAAATAAAGATACAACAGTTGTCATGACTTGTGCAAAAGTTTGGACACCTTTTGGGTTGCAAAGTTTTTATTAGAACTGAATTAACTCAATTGGCTTGTTAGGAAAATGATTATTAGGAATTGTCAGCTAATTTCTCTGACTCTTCAAACCTTGATATCACTCAGCAAGCATGGGCTCCTCCAAGCATCTGGCTGAGCATATAAATACATACATACATACATACATCATCTAAACCGCTTATCCTTCTGGGTCGCGGTGGGGCGCTGGAGCCTATCCCAGCTGTCATTGGGCGGAAGGCAGGATACACCCTGGACAGGTCGCCGGTCGGCATATAAATAAATGAAGCTATTTGCCTATGAAGCATGGAGAGGCTATAAAAAATTAAAAAGTGCTTCCAATTTCAAAATGTCATTTGGCCAAGGGTGTCTAAACGTTTGCACACAACAGTATGTCATAGTGCGCTTATCCTGAGTACTTCTCCATATATGTGCCATATTTTAAAATGTATTAAGTTCAAAATATCAAAAACAAGTGGCAATTATTTTAAACAGACCATTCCAAGACTAACTTTTTTTTTGGCAACGTATTCTTTCAAAATTCGTTCAGAACGCTGTCATTTGAACGTTTTTTTTGCAGACTTTTGCAAGGTTGTTCACCGAATACCTCTATACAGTTCTGAGGTCATGATCCCATCAGCGAACACAAACTCACCATCGCAGTTATAAGAAAAACAGCCAGAGACTTTGATGTTTCCACCTCTGTGCCTTACAGTAGTCATAGTGCACTCTGGTTGGAATTCTTCACACAAAGAGTCTCACATCAGTTGATGTTTTCTTGTTGATGATTTTGTCTCATCACCTGCCCTTAATTTAAATAGACTAACTTTTCTAACTGTTCTTTTTAATGCATACTTCTGCTGTGGTTCTTCCGTAACATTTTAATGTGTCTTTTCCATTATCAACATTGTGAATTTAAAAATATTTTTGTGTTTTTTTTTTTTACAGATTGCCCAAAATGCAAGTTCCGGTTCTTTCTGTCTAAAGGTGGTTGTTTACATTTTAAATGCACTCAGTGCCAGCACGAGTTCTGTGGAGGCTGCAGTCGACCTTTCAGAAACGGCTCTGTGAGTCTTAACACTCTCCTCTCTCTCTCAATGCTGTACCTACAGTCAAACCTAAACGTTTTAAATCTACTGGTCATTGCAGAAGTACATTTTTGTAGATTTTTTTATTTTTTTAATTGAAAATAAGTTTACACAATCTCTACAAGGAACACGCATAAATATGACATTTTACTGCCAATTTTAGTGCACAGTGTCTATTCATTTGCTGAATTTAGCGTATTGGAAAAAAAGAGGAGGGAGGAGGTATGAACTTCCTCCAAACGTCATTCAACGAGGGGCATCCAAACCTCTGCCCTACGACCACATGAACAGATTGAATGTTACTTGTAACATTCACAGCCACCAGGAGGTGCAGATTTCTAGGCCTTGCTCCTATAATTCATTAAAATTAAATTCTAATATAATCTTGGCCTGTCAAATTATTGAATGAATTAATCGCATATATTTATTTATTGCATTTGTCTTATTTGCTAAAATTTAAAATAAAAAAAAGCCATGCAGTTCACATGAACCTGAAACTGATCATGAAAATCTTATGATTTCTATAGAGTTAACATAGTTTCAATTTTCAGCAGAACTTTCCAGTGAGAGTAACAGTGGCTGCATGTTCCAACCAGTGTAAATACTGATGCTGTGCATTTTGGAGATGTCACATTTTGTTCTGACAGTAATGATACCATATACATCCACCAGCCACTTCACAAGTACACTTCAGTGTCCACTTACCAAATAGATGTACTTTGTTGTTCTACAATTACAATCTGTTCCTGTGCATGATTTCTTATAACCTCTTTTTATGTTGTTCCTCATGGTCAGGACCCCCCACAGGGCAGGTATTGTTTGGGTGGTGATCATTCTCAGCACTGCAGTGACACTGATGTGGTGGCGTGTTTGTGTTCTGCTGGTCGGAGTGGATCAGACACAGGTTTTAAACACCTCAGTGTCACTGCTGGACTGAGAATAGTCCTCCAATCAGAAATATCGAGCCAACATCGTCCTGTGGGCAGCGTCCTGTAACTGTTGCTGAAGAAATAGAGGCTGACCAACACACCTATGTGTGCAACTATGCAGCAAGTTAGTGGACCAGCAAGGTAGGAGTGTCTAATAGAGTGGACAGTGAGTGGACACAGTGTTTAAAAACTCCAGCAGCACTGCTGTGTCTGATCCACTCGCAGCAGCGCAACACACACTAACACACCACCACCACGTCAGTGTCACTGCAGTGCTGAGAATGACCCACCACACAAATAATATCTGCTCTGTGGTGGTGCTGTGGGGTTCCTGACCTTTGAAGAACAGGGTAAAAGGGGGCTAACAAAGTATGCAGAGAAACAGATGGACTACAGTCTGTAATTGTAGAACTACAAAGTGCACCAATAAGATCAGTGGAGCTATTAAAATGGACAATAAGTGTAGAAACGAGGAGGTGTACTTAATGAAGTGACCAGTCTGTGTATTTAATATAAAACGTCAGTGGTTCCAACTCCTCCACGACTGTAGCCTCTCGCTCTCGTTCGTACAACTCATGGATTCCAGTTACAGCGGAGACTCCTGAGAGGAACTGGAGTTTTCCACTTTGCTATTGCTTTTGTTAGTTTTCTGCTCGTTGATTTATCCTTAGATCTCCTGCGAGCACTGTCCAGCCTAGTCTGCAGAAGGTGCTGAAAGTATCGCTTTAAAAATCACTTAAAAGCCGTATTCGAGAGAGCTACAGTCATGGATTCATAGCGTCATGCAGCGCACCGCAGCTGGTTTCAGCCTGTACTACTACAGATGGTTTGAAGGGTCAAACTAGGAAAATGCTTTTAAAATGAATAATTTATTCTGTTAATATAACTATTAACATGTTAACTAATAAAATATGCTTTAGTAAGATCAAGTACAACACTAATTAAGCAGTTCTTTATCTGTGGTGTCTGTTTAGACGTGTGATTTCTCAGCTGAATGCAGCGCTAAGGGGTTACATGCCCACCACCCCAGGGACTGTCTGTACCACCTCAGAGACTGGAGTGTGGCCAGATTGCGCAATCTGCTGCAGGTGGGTAGTTGTGCTTTCACTGAGCCTCTCTGTTTAGATGTCCTCCTGTCTGTTTCACAGGCTTAATAACCTCGAATTTTCATTTTCAGCACCATGGAGTTGCGCATCCACTCATATTCAGACAGAGGGACGGCTCTGCGGGGAGCTCTCAGAGAGGTATTTAAAAGATTGAGAGTATTTTGTGTGTGAAACCACAGTCAGAGATTTTAGAACAGTGGTTGCTGTGGTGTTCCTATGCTGCTATGGCATTTTAGAACAGTTTTATACAAAATATTTCTTAGTCACAGGACATTCAAAAAAAAAGCATTTCTGTAAAAAGCGCAGATTAAAATGTTCAGTTAATACCAGATTTGTGTTTGTACGTAGAAGAGGTGATATTTTATTCTGATTTGAATTTGATGAAGTTATTGTATATACAGTCTTTTTTTGTAGAAAGAAGAAACAGTCTTTGGATTTTTTTTTTTCATGCTTTTGTCATTTTTAAACATTGAAACGAACAGGAAAAAAGTCAGAAGTGCAAACTCAAACCTGACTCAGACACTAAGTGTAATTAAGTTAGCTCGACAGCTAATAAAGCTTAAACGTTAAAGCAGTTGGAGACACCTGATGACTGTTTTTGATAACTTAATTGAGTCACCTTTGGTTTCTATGGTATTCCAGCTTGATATTTGGGCGTTGCTTGGTGGTTGTTAGGTGGTTGCTAAGGTGTTGCTAGGCTGTTGTTATGATATCCAGGTGCTTGCTTATGTGTTGCTAGGCTGTTACTATGGTCTTCCAAGTGGTTGCTAAGATGTTGCTAGGCCATTGCAGTGGTATCCCAGGTGGTTGCTAAGGTGTTGCTAGGTTGTTGCTGTGGTATCCAAAGTGGCCTCTAGGTATTCTTATGTGTCTATCTCTGGTGGTTGCTACTTGGTTGCTAGGTGGTTGCTATGGTGTTGCTATGCTGCTATGGCATCAGTTGGGTGGAACAGATGTATTTACACATTTACAAAAAATTACAAATTTAATTAGGTCTATATAGTAATTCCAGGTAGTTACCTTTGGTTTCTGTGGTACTCCAGCTTGATATTTGGGTGTTTCTTGGTAGTTGTTAGGTGGTTGCTAAGGTGTTGCTAGGCTGTTGTTATGATATCCAGGTGCTTGCTTATGTGTTGCTGCACTGTTGCTGTGTTAGCCCAAGTGGTTGCTAAGGTGTTGCTAGGCCGTTGCTGTGTTATCCCAAGTGGTTGCTAAGGTTTGCTAGGCCGTTGCTGGGGTATCCCAGGTGGTTGCTAAGGTATTGCTGTGGTATCCAAAGTGGCCCCTAGGTATTCTTATGTGTTTATCTCTGGTGGTTGCTACTTGGTTGCTAGGTGGTTGCTATGGTGTTGCTATGCTGCTATGGCATCAGTTGGGTGGAACAGATGTATTTACAAATTTTACAAAAAATTACAAATTTAATTGAGTCTATATAGTAATTCCAAGGTGTGGGCAAGGCTTTTGTTATGATATCCAGGTGCTTGCTTATGTGTTGCTACGCTGTTGCTATGTTCGTCCAAGCGGTTGCCAAGGTGTTGCTAGGCCATTGCTGTGGTATCCCAGTGGTTGCTAGGGTGGTACTAGGCTCTTGCTGTGATATCCAAAGTGGCTGCTAAGTATTCTTAAGTGTTGTATCTCTGGTAGCTGCTACTTGTTTGCTATGGTGTTCCTATGCTGCTATGACATCAGTTTGGAGGAACAGATGTATTTACACACGTACAAAAAAATTACAAATGCATATGCAGATGTAAGTGGGATTATAATTCCCCGAATGTAGCATAAATGCTGTAATTTCTGTGATCTTTGCATTGCCACTTCATTGTTTGTTTGATTTTCGGTTTGAAAGTGCACTGAGTCCCGATTGTGTCTGTTTTAGGTGTGTGTACTGTGTTGGAACTCAAAGAGACGGGCAGCATGAGAGAAGAGGCCTGTGGACGTGTGGCGTTCAAAGAATATAATGGTTACTGCACGTATGTCGCACTTTCACTTTTTATGCCGCTGCTGCCCCCGATTTACACAAAAGCCTCAACAACTAAATATTTTTAGTGTGCATTTAGTTTGTCCTTCCTTTGCCTTTATTACAGCTTCCAGTCTTTTTAGGAAACTTGCTTTCAGTTCTTTAAAGAAATTTGAAAGATTTATCCTCTCACAGTGGAAGGATGGACAGAAATGTTTGTGGAGTTTTTTTAGAGCTGAAGCAAAAGTGGAGCTTGATTTTCCTCTCTCTCAAAGATGAAATCTTTAAGTGCTGTTTATCTGATGGGGACAGTTTTGGTGTCTACCAAGTCTTGCATTTTTCATTTTTTTCTAATCTCCACAGAAATATCTCCTGAAAAATGAATGTCTTGTACCTAATGGCCATTTTGACTGGAAATTAAATAAATTAAGCACTGTCTCTGACTTGCTCAGTACTGTATCTGGCACAAACCAGCTTTTCAAAGTGGATATCAGCCTCCTTTCTGATTAAAATTAGGAATTACTTTAAAAAGATGATGATTTCTTGAAACACATTCTGTCATATTTATCAACCATGACCGTTTAATGTTTCCCCTGCATTAACTATTGAATGGCCTAAACCATTAAGTGCATTAGAGCAAGGTGAACACTAACCTGCACAGTGACCAGGGCTGCGGTTGCAGGACCTCCATTAATCACCTTGAATAATCTGCCTTCTGTTTTTATGTTGAAGCCTGCATTACAAGGAGTGTCTGGTGGAGCTGATCAACCAGAATGGACTGGATCCTGTGGTGCTGTTTGACGAGTCAGAACTGCGGGCAGAACTGGACCGGTGGAAGGTTCCCATCCCGGACAAACAGCCTCACGAATCAGAAAGGCTGTACAATGAGCGCCTACGGCAGGTTAGACAGCCATGGAGTCACCGTTAAGTCTGTCAGTGTAGAGGGAGGCTGACATTATTAATATAAGTATTATTAATAATTGTTGTTGCCTGAGATGCTGTAAACATAACTGGACATCAGAAGGTATTTGACGAAGTTTTCATTAATATGTCAGTTTTTTTAAGAACATGACCAAGTTACATTGGTTATCAGTGTTTGTGAAGGTGTTGCTAGGCCATTTCTGTGTTATTCCAGGTGGTTGCTAAGGTGTTACAAGACCATTACTATGGGATCGCAGGTGGCTGACAGTAATTTCTTTTGTGTGCCTTGAGATTTGATCACCAATTTTTATAGGGGATGTCATTATTGTAAATACATCTAAAATTCCAAATTCTTAAGAGCTTCTTCTAAAATTACTTGTTGTTAGATAAGAGCATCATTATTAGAATCATATTGTGCATGTATTTGAAACCAAAGTCCTTTTGTATTATTGGAAACAACAATCACAAACCATTGTGTCCTTTCTGCTGTGTTCTCATTCAACTGACATGGGTGTTCTCTCTTCAGATCCTGATGGAAAGGGTTGGTTTGTCTCGTGCTGCTGCTCCAGGACTAAAACCCCTGGCTCCTCCAACACCGTCCCCCTCTCCCTCCTCCCCCCCGGCTGCTGGCGCACCATGGTACTCTGTGCTGAACCCAAGCAGATCTGTACCCGAGGACTCCCAGCTGCTGCTGCTGCTGAACGACTAAGACCGGACCTTCATCACACGCACCAAATACACCCACCCTGCCAGTGCGGCCAGCACCAACTAGGTCCTGTCTTACTCACAAACCATGAGTAGGTCTGAGGTTTTGTTGCAGCTGAAGAGTAACACACCTGATCAAGCTGGAGCAGTAACCTTCACTGCTTACCCATGTTATGTGCAGTACAGTCTGTAAGTATTTGCACCATGACATATTTTTGTTCTTTTGGCTTAATAGTCCAGCACATTGGGTTTGACATTAAACAATGACCATCAGGATAAAGTGCAGAATGTCAGCTTTACTGTAAGGCATTTATGTCTGTATTTGGTGAATGTATGTTTTGTACATAAATACCCACTGATGAACCGTGAATATTAAAGCTAGCTTTTCAGTTCAAGCCATAAATATATCAAATATCAAAAAAAAAAAAAACAGCTCTACAATAATAATTTCTGCTGGAGCCCTTATGGAATTCTATTTTCCATTTGTTTGCACTGAACCAATGGCAATTCACATGAATATACAGGGTGATTCAAAAAGATTAATCCGATTTCAAAATGATTTATTTCACTTGTAAATCGATACCGAACAATGCAGTAAATTGTAAACGGTTTAAGTGAGGATAAAGTTTATGCCATTTTACAAGTGCTCAATATGAACCTCCTCCAGCTGTACAGACAACATCAACGCCATAGTCAAATTCATCCCATACTGGATTGAGCTCTTTTAGTGTGATTTCGGAGATCACCCAGTGTTGTGGAACCAACGACGAACACTCTGAACTGTTGGAGCTTCACTGCCGACAAAAATCACATTGCACAGTTATGCTGGATACACTCTTATTGAAGTGGAGAACGCAAAACGCTTTCTGCTCAGGGGTCACATCTCCTCGCAGACTGAAGGGAGCCATCTTCTGGTGACAGTCAGAAACTTTTACGTTGGTATGTGATTGGTTCCTAGGCGCCTCACGGCTGTAAAAAAATAGCGCTTTGAAATTGGATGAATCTTTTTTTAATCATCCTGTATTTTGGCCATTCAAGTAAGCATGGACAATTGGAGCTAAAAGACATTTCTTGTTTTACTTGAAGTTTTTATCAGACATATTTTATCTGTTTTACCTTGTATGTAGCAGTTTTACAGTGACACTTTCAGTGAAGCATAGAACTTCTGCAGTTTCCTTTCTTAACAACTGACTGAAACCTGGTTAGACCACAGCTCGTCTTCCCAGCAGTGACTTATGTAAAACTTCCTGAATGCCTAGAGTGATGTCGTTCTTGCCACAACCAATATAAATCAAAATCTGATTGGTTGATTCCACTGTCAGTTTCTTTATATTCTGGTAGTCAAGCTAATGTTCAGCTCCTGAAGTCCTAACCAACAGGAGAGCTTGTTTTCTGCTGGACATTTCAGAAATTGTTTAAATACAGGCGTGATGATTCTATTTGAAACCTCATGATGTCCTGCTTTACTGCCACTGACTGCCACTAACTCTATAAAGTGAATAAATGTAATGCATGATCTAATAATGTGACAGATCACAAGTGGACGAGAAACATCTGAGCAACCAACTGTCTAATAACTTTTTATTTGCTAAAACTGGATGACAGTTGACCCAATATGGATGTTCGTACCCTCAAATTAAAGCTGACATTCTGTCCATTATCCTCACAGTCACTGTTCAGTTTCAAATCCAACAGGACAAAGCCAAACCAGCTATAATTGTTATTGTCCTAATACTTACTGACCTGGCTGTGTTCTCTCTTCAGTGCTATTTTAATATGTTAATAAGGACAGAGTGAAATTCCCTGATCTGGGTTGCAGAGCAATGATCTGAATCATGCTGTATAAACTCAACCAGGTGCACTAACTCTGCTTTAGCCCTTAAAACTACAGTAAAGCACTTACCATATTAAAATAACTCTCAATTTGTTAGAGTCTGATTCCAGCCCTGCAGATGTTTCATATTGTGAGAGTTTTTTAGAGAATAACTGTGTTTTAACTTGTAAATTGTTAATGTGCATGAATGCAGTTTATTGAGCACAGGAATGCACTTTTTGATGTCAACTGAGTAGTGGGTGTTTAAAAAAATGAGTGCTGCAGTGAAGACATTATGCCAACACTATTAATATTTTATCTTTAACTTTGTGAATAACTGTGAAAATAAAAGGTTTATTTTTTTTACTGTGTCCCTGTTTGAATTTTCAAAATTCTTCACAATAACAAATAACAGGCCATAAGTTGAAAAACACAAATTACAAAAAAAAATGACAACACAAGTTTCAGCTGGGGATGCACAATGATATCAGATTTATATCGGTATTGGCAGATAATTAAAAAAAGATTTTGACAAACAGATTTCACTTTTTACCGATATTTCAAACACACTTGACTGATTGATTGCTTGACTGATTGACTGACTGACTGATCAATTGATTGTACTCCAGTAGAGCAGAATGTCTGCATTTTACTGCCATCTGTAAGCATACGTCAGATTTCTCCGTAATGCTAATCCAGGTAGATTTAGTCCCAATTTCTACATTCTATAAAATGATTAAATATCAGCATTAACAGATGTGTAGGTGAAAAATACTGCCGTAGGCCTAGAGTTGGCAAAAAAGTACATCTTATGAGCTTTGAAGTCATAAAGACTGATATAAATATAATTGCCAGTGTTTTGTATAAAATTCATGGAAACATGGTTATCACATAAGAGCAAAATAATAATTACAGTATACAGTAAATAAATCTGGCATATTCATTGTTTGGTCTGTAGAGGTGCGTCGTCCCTGACAGCAGGATATGCCTTGATCTCTTTGACGATTTTTTCTGCAATTGTCTTGTTATTAGCAGCAATGATTCTCCTAGACATCAGGTCCATTGGTCCACCTGCAGAGCATCCACGGTTTTCATTAAAGCCAGACTGGTATGACAGTCCCTGCTTAAGCTGAAGTGATGGCTCAGTTAAAAAAAAAAACAATCCTTAACCCTAAATGTAGTCAAGCAGCCAAGGCATGCTTGGTGTCCAAAGTTTGCTCCATTAGTTTTGCTGCTACGTGGGACTATGAGGCTTATGTAGCTAACAAGTAATGGAAGCTTATACACCAACAATTAGCACCGCACAAACTGCATACCTATGCAGACTTGTTGAGTAATAGCTAATAGACTTGTTTATGAGGGTTCTAACACTGTATGACACACTGTTATCTGTAAACATGGATGGCAATAACAGGCAATTCGAAGCATGAGCTTTGTCAATAAATTTGTCCATTACTGACTACATTTGGGGTCAGGAGAACAATGCAAATGAGATTTTTTACTAAAACTATTACTTTAAACTAGGGATACACAGAAATTGACAAACGAAAGAGAAGAAAAGACATTTTTGACCAAAAGAAAAAGGTTAAACAGGCCAATAACAAGATGTCAAAATCTAAGATGTTAAACAATTTTAATGGTAATGATAAATTTCACAGTTTCTACTAGGGACATTAAGAAATCACTGTAATGACTGTTCAGTCAAAGTATTAAATGGAGTGAAAAAAACCCAGAACTTCACCTTTTACAGGTCTGATACAATTTAAAACGCATCCTGCTAACAAGCCGACACCATCTGGAGCCTCAGTTTTTTGCCGAAATGACCAAAATTCACAAACGATGGCTGAGGTGCAAAGAGTACAAAAAAAATAATAAATAAGAATGAGTTTTCTAGAATAAACAACTTTTTTTGTTGTCAAGGGTCTTTGATGTCATGGTACATATTGTATTTTTTTAATTGTTTATTTTTAGTAAACCACTTTTATGTGTTGTCAGCCTTTTTTTCCCTCCCCAATTTAGTCGTATCCACCCACTCGATCGAAAGGGTTTTCGGTTTTGATTTTCTGCTGAGAATTGGTCCTGAATTTCTGAATTTTCATTTCAGCGCATCACTATATAAACACAAAAGTTAAAGGGCTGCTGAAGTAAAGAAGGAGTGTCATGATGGTGGGCTGAAATGCAGTAAATAAAAATCTTTAAATAAAACTTTCATTTTAGTCACAAAAGCCAAAAAGTGTTGGAAATGTAACAAGATGCTACAAAGAAAATAAGAGCACAAAAAGCAGGGGTAAGAAATATCACAATATTTTAACATATGGTGATAAATTACATTACAGTATGCTTTTCTGAGTATAGTGTGGATATTGTCAGTACTTAAAGAACACTGACCAACTGCACGTTTCATTACAAAGACAGCATAATTAGGCCTGTTTAATTAGTCTTCGTAATTCTTTGTATTCGTAAGTTTTGATGGTATATTGTGTCTGTTCTAATGTATCAAACCTCATAAAAATCAAAACTCTGATGCAAATCATGTTATATTAAAATGTCTACCAGTATCTCAATACTGTATTTCTGCGATATCGCCCACCCCTTATACAAACAGAAGAATGAAAAGGAGAACTAATACACTAGACATATGCTGCCTTGAACAAATGTGTTTTAATGTGGATCTCTGAGAGCTGTTCTTACCCTCGAAATCCATGAGTACTCCTCCTGCCTCCTCCACGATGACTGCAGCAGCTGCAATGTCCCAACAGTGGATCCCAATCTCATAGTATGCCTCCACACAGCCAGAGGCAACCAAACACATGTTTATCGCAGCTGAACCGGCACCACGCATCCTTAGAGAGCAGCAGAGAGAAATGAGAGAAGAATGAGAATCTGTTTTCTCTCAATCGCCATGTTTCTATCATAATTACACAGAACCATGCAGCTGAGTGACTCAGCATCAGGAGTAGTTACTAAAGGTAACATTAACCTGTGCTACTATTAGGGCAGCACAATATGGAGAAAAACATAGTACTGCTACATGCTGTGATTGCAATATTCAAAAGTTTGTCATATGCACAAACAGGCAGTTACACTGCACAATAAAATTCTTAGTCTGCACCACCTCCCAGACTACAAGCTCTAAATATAGAAGCAGAGTAAGGAGGGGAGGTTCACATTGTTGCTGTCCAAAAAAGATAGTATCTCCAAAATACTATGTTTTAGGGTGAGGTCAAAAACCTCTTTTAATGTAAGTGAATATAAGGAGTGTGTGTGTGTGTGTGTGTGTGTGTGTGTGTGTGTGTGTGGTACGTACCCGTGCAGTGGCAAACACAGAATCTTCCTCATGTTGGAGAAAATCCTGTCGACCACTTCTGGATCTCTGTTTGAACCGAACTCCGTGGCAATGATTGACTGATTGATTTCTGAAACAGAATTTGGATGTATCAGCAGTGTAACTTTTAATGTTTATAACTGTACGCAAGTATATTCTGCTGTATACAGTACATCAGTTCAGGACTCTGTATTATATACTGAATATTATATCCACCTACATCCACCTTATTTTTCACATGACCGCTGTATTTCAGGATTATGGCCAAAATATCTGGTCAGGGATCGGAAGCGTCGCTCATGGCTGTTTTAGCTAAGTCAAGGAGCATGTGCTTACTTTTTACGAGCTTAAGCTTCCCTTATTTAGATATTTCGATTATTCATTATAGGTAAACATTCTCAAAAAATGTCTGTTGTGCATCTCGAGAGAGAGTAGACAGCAGGACGTTTAAAATCTTTTTTGCAAGACAATATTTACTTGCGTTTAGTGTGACCTTAGTGTTTTAGGGTTAAAGGGGTTAAGCTAAAATAAAGAATACTGCACTTCAATACATCAACACCTGTAAACTCATGAAAACCTGGCTGTTAGACAAACGTGCGTTTGAGTATGATTGGAAATAGTAATTCAACTAAAAGGGCTGCTAACACTCATGTAATACTTACAATAATAATGGCACAATATGTGGCGCAACCATCTAAGCATTGGCCCTTTCATCAGGAGATCGCGAGTTCGATCCCTGGTGATGCTACAGCCATCTGTGGCTGGGAGTCCAAGAGATCAGAATTGGCCTCGCTCTCTGGGTGGGTGGGATGTCTCCCCCATCGCTCAACATGATGCTAGCCAGTATAGACATCTGTCAGCTTAGGTGACAGAACCGGCGGTTGGCGCTTTCCTCCGAGTGTGTTCAGCTGTCTAATGACGTTGTATCAGCAGCAGTTCAAGAAAATGCGGTGGTGCCTCACAGGTCTCTGAGGGAGGCTTCGCCCTCCTAGGTAGTATCTTGTGATTGGGGGAGTCTTAACTAGTGGGTGGAATTGGATATGACCAAATTGGGGAAAAGCCCAAAAAAATAATGAAGCTAATCCTAATTGTTTAGATTTAAATGCACATTTCCAAGAAATCACTAACCTTTCTGGTCTGATACGTGGAGAGGTTCTCCATTGCAGAATGCTCCCTTCCCTCTGCGGGCCATGTACATCTTATCCTCTATGCAGCTATACACCACACCAAACTCTAACTGGAAGAGAAGCACAAACACTGCACTGTACACAAGCAAAACAATGGCATATGTTAATACACTGATCAGGCATAACATTATGACCACCTTCTTGTTTCTCTGCTCAATGTCCATTTTATCAGCTCCACTTACTATATAGGGGCACTTTGTAGTTCTACAGTTACAGACTGTAGTCCATCTGTTTCTCTGCATACTCTGTTAGCCCCCTTTTACCCTTTTCTTCAGTGGTCAGGACCCCCATGGACCCTCACAGAGCAGGTCCTATTTGGGTGGTGGATTCTCAGCACTGCAGTAACACTGACGTGGTGGTGGTGTGTTAGTGTGTGTTGTGCTGGTACGAGCTGATCAGAAACAGCAGTGCTGCTGGAGTTTTTAAACACTGTGTCCACTCACTGTCCACTCTATTAGACACTCCTACCTTGTCAGTCCACCTTGTAGATGTAAAGTCAGAGACGATAGCTCATCTGCTGCTACACAGTTTGTGTTGGTCATCCTCTAGTCCTTCATCAGTGGTCACAGGACGCTGCCCACAGGACGCTGTTGGCTGGATATTTTTGGTTGGTGGACTATTCTCAGTCCAGCAGTGACACTGAGGTGTTTACAAACTCCAGCAGCACTGCTGTGTCTGATCCACTCAGACCAGCGCAACACACACTAACACACAACCACCACATCAGTGTTACTGCAGTGCTGAGAATGATCCACCACCCAAATAGTACCTGCTCTGCGGTGGTCCTGTGGGTCCTGAGCACTGAAGAACAGGGTAAAAGGGGGCTAACAAAGTATGCAGAGAAACAGATAGACTGCAGTCTGTAATTGTAGAACTACAAAGGTCACCTATAGAGTAAGTGGAGCTGATAAAATGGACAATGAGCGTAGAAACAAGGAGGTGGTCATAATGTTATGCCTGATCAGTGTATAGTCACTATCATAAGGAAACACTGTATCTCTGAAACAACTAGCAGAAAGAAAAAAAAAGTTAAGATTTTATCCCAACATATTTTGGATCATTTCTACTGGTCCATTTCTCATGAAACACTGAAAAAAAAACAGGAAACATGAAACAGCTTTTAAAACGACAGTGACAATAAGCAGGTTGCAAAGTCTCTTACCGTCTTATTAACAGCAAAGCCAATGCAAACAGCAACGAAAGGGTATCTGTGGAACATTAAAAGACAATATCACACAATAGATCACACTATAAACACAGTGCAAATAAAATAGTGTAACACCTCTAAAACCATATCAATATATATCTGAGATGATTGCAGTACCCGTGCACAAAGTTAGTGGTTCCGTCCACCGGATCAACGATCCAGGTTGGATTGTCTGACAGAACGCACGGCTCTCCAGCAGCCACGGACTCCTCGCCGATAAAGCTGAAACATACAGACATTTCAAATTGGGTAGAAATAAACATAGCCGAACAATGAGCTTCAGTACAGAGTAAGAATGCGACTATCACGATACCCATGCTTCGGGAACTTTTCCTTCACGGAATCGATTATAAGCTGCTCCACTTTCTGGTCAGTCTTGGTGACCAGGTCCACCGAGGAACTTTTGCACAAGACCTTCATGTCATTGTGTAGAGCATCCCTGACGATCTGCATTAAAAACAAGGACACACAGTGTTACTGATGTGAAGCACCACTCTAATGAAGCACCAGAAGATACTAAAGTGCTGATAGCACCCTCTTGTGGAGAATCTTCAGCTAGCTAAACAAATGTGAGTGCATGAGGTTCAGTGAGTAGGTTAGCTCCTTAGTTACAAGTTGCAGTATTGGCATAAAGCTGGAACCAGAAGAACATGCTGCATCAGATACTGAAGGGAACAAATTTCCTTGAGGCACAACATGACATAAAGTGAAGTAGATCACAAACAGCAGCCACATGTAGACTAACAAGAATAAGCAGCACCCGACTGAGATGAGAGGAATTCTTTTATCTTAATAATCTTAATATGGCACCTTTAGATGTGTTTAAAACATGATATTATAATTTTTCTCCTACTGGAGAAAAAAATAATCAAAAAAAAAATAAAGTCATTGAGCTTCGATCAAGGATTACAATCATTTTGTCTTTTACCTAAAATGATTTTCAAAGTTTCTGCTTAATTCAAGCATTTTCATCAGTCATGAGCAGTTTGATGTGAAATTGTAGAGAAATTTACAATTTACCAATTTACTCTTTACTGCAGTGTGATAGGAACCAGGGGTCGCGATGTCTACAACACAAATATAGCCAATTTTATTTACAAGCGACCAGTGCTTCTAAGTTTTAAATGTATTGTTGATGATAATAAGATAGCGGTAAAGCTGAAAGAAAAAAAGTTTTACTTTGGGGACTGTTTTGCCTACACTGTTAGTAATAAAGGTTCTGTGCTGGTACATTTTTCGTTCATCAAGGTACAAACAATGTAAATGTTCCCTCAAAGGTACAACAGTGGTTTTAAGGTCTAATTGTGAACCTTAAATAGGTTTTTCCAGTTGAAAAGTACATATTGGTACCTTTTCATAACCAAATGATTTAAAATAGAACAGTAAAATAAAAGCCTGGAGACGAGGCGGGGTGTGTGGAGTCAACACAACTTAGAAAATTATGGTACAATTATGTTCCCTGACTAAAGGTACTGAGGGAACCACCTCAGTGACAGTTTACTACCTTTATTTCTGAGAGTGTAAAACACCCTGAACGTACCTCTCTGCCATGAATGTGTTTTAAAAAGAGGTTTTAGGCTAAAACAATCTCACAACTTCATGGAAGAAATGGTTATAAGGGAGCTTTAGAGGTGGATGTCTGGTTCCTATCATGACCACTGTGAAGAATTCTGACTGTGCAAGTTTCTCTAGTATGTAGCATTTCATATCAAACCACTCTCAATGACTGTGTTAAACTTAATCATTGAATTATGCAGAAAATCTGGAAAAAAAATGGAGTTTTACTGAAGCAGATTGAGTGTTGTAGGTTTAGATGGTCATCTTAGGTGAAGTGATTCAAATCAAGCTCAAAAAAAAGGAAAATATCAGATCTGTATAAGAATCAGTAAGAAGGTCTGAGTATCTGTATTGGTAAAAAAAGTGGTGATCTGTCATCTCCAGACAGTAGTCGCTGGGGGTGGGGGGCTGAGACGCAGGGGGCTGAGACGTAGGGGGCTAAAACCCATCCACACATGCTCACACACAAAACGCACCTCTCCTGCCTTCCTGGCCACAGCCACAGCGTGGTCCATGGCTTCCTGCCAAAGATCAGCCATCTTCAAAGCAGCTTTCTTTCTAAAAATAAAAACCTGAAAAAAAGACAATTAGACAATTAAAGCAATTAGAATTGGGTTTCCCCAACAAAACTCACGATGCTACAGTATAAAGAATATATTCACAACCGTCACCTACACCAAAAAACTGCACCTGATCAGCATTGATAGAAGAGAGCGAAGCACAGCTGAACACAAATCAAATTAAAACATACATTTTGTTTCCGTCACACACCATTTATTAATTATAATTAATTAATTAATTACTGAAACTGAAAATAATTACATTACTGAAACTGTGTCAAACTGTGGCAAATTTATTTTTGACCAAAAAGGAGAACATCAGTGTGAAAAAAGTAAACAATTTTTATTATATATGACATCTATAGTATGTTTTGTGCATAAGAACTTCAAACAAATGACTGTTTTAATTTTATTTGTGAAGGCCTAATTGTTACAGTGTATTTAAACTACCTCCACCATGTGGAGGCCACACTTTAGCCTGGCTAGCTTTCACTGTGTGTTGTTTACATGCTTTAGAATGATGCTATATTACAGCCACCAAAAGATTAAAATACGTGTGAATTCTGCGACTCATGCATACAATTCAGTAATCTGATGCTGAAATAAGTTACTTTATGGAGCAAAAAAGTCTCCAGGGTGATTCTTGATAAAAACCTAAACAACTACTGTTTAAGATGATTTCCCTATGGAAGAACAATAAGATGCCCAATCTGAACCTATTTAGCTACATGAAACATCCATGTTACATTTGACCCCATTAGTTTGTGCCACACATCTCTCTAGCATAACTCAAGCATTCACATTAATTCATTACCAGAAAAGATGAACTGCCATGTAAGGCTGGTCCTTTTACTCCTTAAGTACTTTTCCATTATTCCTTATAAAGTGATCTGGCTAAAAATAATTCAAAATGTGTCACCCCCTCAGCGCACACTCTCCTCTCCTCTCAGCCCCTAATGGGCTTTAGTCAGTCAGCCACTAACAGCTGGCCTCCACGCTCCATTTGCAGGCCTTTGCAGCATAAAACACAGAGCGAAAGCTACAGTTTGAAGATCTCTGTCTCATCCATTCTGTTAAACCCTCTCCGCTCTCTCTGAATAGGCGCTGGCAGAGGCGGTGTGAGCTGAGTCAGTTCTACTGCATAGATAAACTGAGATCAAGTATGTTAGATTTAAAGTCTGCGGCTGCTTTATTCCACATGACGCTGCCAGCAGTGGCTTCCGTTTACTCAGTTCTATGTACTTCAGTACAGTTTCGACAAATTGCTACTTTTCTTTCAAATGATAATACTTTTCCTCTGTTCCCAGTGGTGGACGAAGCACACAGATCATGTACCTGAGTTAAAGTAGAGATACCCAAGGTAAAATATTACTCCAGTAGAAGTAGAAGTTCCTCCCTTTAGACCTCCACTTGAGTAAACGTACAAAAGTATTTGCCTTCAAATGTACTTAAGTATCGAAAGTAAAAGTACTAAAAGATTAATTATGACTTTAATGTCCTAGACTCTTACACCAACTCATTTTAGGTGAAAATACTCCAGTGTCACTCTGGACATAGTCTGACACTGATGTCTATTAAAATTATCATAAGCACAAAACACTGAAGGCAAACAGCTTCCATCAGGTAGAACCGAGTGGCTTTTTGCAAACAAGCAAAGTTTCAGTTTAAGATTTATTTGCAACATACAATGGTTACAAGTTTCAGTTTAATAAAAACTTTAAACTCAGATTCATAAATGAGTTTTCCTTTACTATATTCCATCTGTAGGTCTCTGTTCATAAACATAAACTAGCCAAAACAAATTTACTATAAAATGAACACGTCAGTCACAACTGCATATGAGTACATATTTCTATATTGTGGTCTGTTTACACAAAGTTAGGTTAGTTCATCATTTATGTTGAATAGACACTCCCAAAATTTTACGCTGCTGCACTGATGTTGAACCGTGTGCTGCACTGGGTCGGTCTGTCCAACAGGTCAAAACAAGCTCAAAGTAAAGTGCGCGCTGTGCCCTGATTGGTGTTCTTGCTTCACGCTTCTTTCATTTTGACCTGTTACATTTTTATACACACATAAGACAAAAGGAACGACAGATTTCTCATAATGTAGTGGAGTAAAAAGTAAGATATGTGGCTTTGAAATGTGGAGTGAAAGGAAAAAGTCACCCAAAATAGAAAAACTTCAGTAAAGTACAGATACACAAAAAAACTACAGTACAGTAACGAATTACATTTACTTAGTTACTGTCCACCACTGTCTGTTCCATCTTAGTCTTTCAAAAGAGAATTCAACATATTTTTCACATTTTCTGCATTATTTAATTGTGGAGAGGTAAACAAAGTCATTCAGAGTGGACTGATGTGGTGTGCACTGTAGGGAAACTGTACAGTGGTGGTGACTTGAACCACGGGGTCGTGATGTCTTCAATGCAAATATACCCATTTGTTTCCTATCCAAAACAACTATAAGTGCATAGGTCACACATAGAACAGTCTGAAAACAGCTGCTATAGTGTAAGTGAATTTGACCGCAGAGATTATAGGCCTGTCTGTACAGCAACCAGAAAAACATGTTCTTTCTTCACCACGCAGGGTTGCCAGGTGTGCCATTTTCTCAAGAAAAAGTCTGACAGTTGCGGGGGTGCATTTTTGTTACTCCAGCTGCAGAAAAAAGGTTTGAATATGAAAACAAATTGTCTTATAATTGTAAATTGATCCTAAGGTTGAATTGTTGACAACCTAAAAACACACAGGCATGTAGAGTAAGCCCTTTAACCCTTATTGACAGTGGTGGACAGTAACTAAGTAAATGTAATTCGTTACTGTACTTAAGTAGTTTTTTTGTGTATCTGTACTTTACTGAGGTTTTTCTATTTTGGGTGACTTTTTACTTTCACTCCATATTTCAAAGTCAAATATCTCACTTTTTACTCCACTACATTATGAGAAATCTGTCTTTCCTTTTGGTTTATGTGGGTATAAAAACATAACATGTCAAAACGAAAGAAGCACGAAGGAAGCAGACCAATCAGGGCACAGCGCGCACTTTACTTTGAGCTTGTTTTGACCTGTTGGTCATACCGACCCAGTGCAGCACACGGTTCAACATCAGTGCAGCAGCGTAAAGTTTTGGGAGAGTCTATTCAACATAAAAGATGAACTAACCTAACTTTGTGTAAATAGACCACAATATAGAAATATGTACTCATATGCAGTTGTGACTGACGTGTCTTTTTTCTGAATTTATACAAACTTTCATTTTATAGTAAATTTGTTTTGGCTAGTTTATGTTTATGAACAGAGACCTACAGATGCAGTTTAGAAAAGGAAACTCATTTGTGAACCTGAGTTTAAATCTTTTATTAAACTTAAACTTGTAACTAAGTAATAAATCTTAAACTGAAACTTTGCTTGTTTGTAAAAAGTGATTTCAGAGCCACTCAGTTCTACCTGATGGAAACTGTTTGCCTTCAGTGTTTTGTGCTTATGATAATTTTAATAGACATCAGTGTCACTAATTAATGACATTTTATTAAAAGATTGGTTTACCAAGAGTGACACTGGAGTATTTTCACCTAAAATGAGTTCATGTAAGAGGCTTGTTACAAAAAATGATAATAGGACATTAAAGTCATAATTAATCTTTTAGTACTTTTACTTTTGATAATTAATTTAAAGCCAAATACTTTTGTACTTTTACTCAAGTGGAGGTCTAAAGGGAGGAACTTCTACTTCTACTGGAGTAATATTTTACCTTGGGTATCTCTGCTTTAACTCAAGTACATGGTTTGTGTACTTCGTCCACCACTTATTGCTTATTGGCTCACCATGTACACGTATCTTCTGAGTTTTCATAAATAATGCTGGTAAAATTGTTAAAAAATAAGTCCCTTTGGGTTCTATATTGTCTTACAATGCCTCGATAGTATCTTTCCGCCATGAATATGTATAATACAATCGTAAAAACAATTCAGCAGCAAATTCGTAACCATTCCATGTATTAACTTCATATGATGTAGCTTTCAGACGCAAGTAATGTTTCGGACGTCTGGTTCCCATCACCACCACTGTGAACAGTTCTGATTTGGCAAGTTTTACTAGGATGAAGCACGGAGGAGTAAATCAGACCACTCTGGATGACTTTGTTTACATCTTAATGACCTAATTATACAGAAATTTGGAATAGGTGGAATTCCCCTTTAATATCCTCCTTCAAACTGGACTGCTTAACTAACTCGTAACTAACTCGTTTTTGGAGTTTCAGTGTTTCATTTTCACATCGAAAGAACCCCAAAAAGGAGAGCAACGGCGCTTATCTTCAGTCCCCACACTTAGGTGCTGGATGTAGCTCAATAACCGACTCCATATTCCGATTATTTTGCCCTGATATGTTTCACTCAGACTGCTGTTGGTGACCACGGTAAAGTTAGTTTTATTTTCGATATTCATCTTTTCGGCGCTAATAACATTTGATCGGACTACGGTAGTCAGTAAAGACTCATTCATGACAGTACGACCACAGAGAGTGATGCACACCTGTTCTTTTGCAGTTTGGGTGACATTTAACGTACCGCTATTTTGTGTTAATACCATAGAACTGAGACACGTTTTTTCAGTCGGAAGGAAAATCATGCACTTCTAGACCACACCTACATCCATGCACACGCCTCTGTTTTCCTCCAAAGCGTTTCAGTGCATTTAAATACATATTTTAATTGTTCATGCTAACAATAGACACCGCCAGACAATAAAACGTCAATAGCTCCATAAACACTGTGTCCATGCTTATCTGATTGTGTTATTTGCTCTAAATTATGGTTAGAAATACACACCACTTTAATTTAGAGAAAGGACTTTGAATAAACCTGTAACAAAAATGTACTTGCCAATACTTGTCCTAACAGTACTGAGCATAAAACTCAAAAACCTGATATTACCTGTATACTGATATAGCTAGTTAGCTTGATGACGGAGGTTCAGTAATCGATTAGCTGTCTTGAAGGTTCAATAGATCCTTAACCATCTAAAATATTAGTGTAAAAAATGAGAGTGTAGAAAAGAAAACGTCTTATTTAAGTGGATCAAATTGCAACTCAAAACTTTTTTAAATCTATCAAAAACTCAGTGAGTCAGACTTAAGTTATTTTTCCATTTTCAATTTCGACATTTTAGATGTTGAACATTTAAAATACTGCTTAGATTCAAAGTGCAGCATTCACTGCAATTAATACAGCTGAAATGCTTTTGAAGGTTAAAATACAAATATTTATATAAAGTAATTATTGCAGTACATTCAAAACTCAAACGTTGTGTATGATTCCTGTAACTTACCTGCACCATACACAATTGTTTGTAGTGTTGGGTGTAATACAGCTGAAATGCTAATGAAATTCAAAATTGCTAAAAGTTAAATCAATATATCCAAAATTTAAATACATAAAAATTAATAAAAAGTAATTACAGCAATATATCCAAAATCCAAAGGCTGTGCATGATTGTTGACACCTCATTGCACTATATTCAACTGTTTTTAATGGTGTAAATAATGCAGCTGAAATATTATTGAAATTCAATATACACAGAAATTAATAAAAAGTACTTACAGCAATATATCAAAAATCCAAAGGCTGTGCATCATTGCTGACACCTCACTGCACCATACTCAACTGTTTTCAATGTTGAATATAATTTAGCTGAAATATTATTGAAATTCAAAATACATAAAAATTAATAAAAAGTAGTTACAGCAATATTTCAAAAATCCAAAGGCTGTGCATCATTGCTGACACCTTGGTGCACCATACACAGCTGGTTTTTAGTGTTGTATGTAAGATGGGCAAAATACTATTGAAGTTAAAATTAAATAAAAAAATATAACATATTTATTGCATTATATCCAAAATCCAAAAGGTGTGTATGACTGCTGACACTTCACTGCACTGTGCACAATTCTCTGTAGTGCTGTATGTAATGTTACTGGAATATAACTGAAATTCAAAATATATAAAAAAATATTTAAATGAGATATTGCATTAGATCCAAAATCCAAAAAAATGTGTATGATTGGTGATACCTAGCTGCACCATACACAGTTATTTTTGGTGTTGTATGTAATGTGGCTGAATTATTGAAGTTCAAAATAAATAAAAAATTATATAAAGCAGTTATATATAGTTATATATAAAAAAAAAATATTTAAATGAGATGTTGCATTACATCCAAAATCCAAAACTTGTGTATGATTGCTGACATCTTGCTGAACCATATACAATGGTCTTAGTGATGTATGTAATGTGGTTGAAATTCTATTGAAATTCAAAATACATAAACACTAATATAAAGTATAAACCTATTTCAGCCAAATTATATACAACATTAAAAACAGTTGAGTATGGTGCAGTGCAGTGTCAGCAATGATGCACAGCCTTTAAATTTTGGATATATTGCTGTAACTACTTTTTATTAATTTTTTTATACTTTGAATTTCAATAATATTTCAGCTGCATTATTTACAACATTAAAAACAGCTGTGTATGGTGCAGTGAGGTGTCAGCAATGATGCACAGCCTTTGGATCTTTGATATATTGCTGTAACTTCTTTTTATTAATTTTTGTGTATTTTAAATTTCAATAATATTTCAGCTAAATTATATACAACATTAAAAATAGCTGTCTATGGTACAAGAATGTGTCAGCAATGATGCACAGCCTTTGAGTTTTGGATATATTGCTGTAACTACTTTTTATAAATGGTTATGTATTTTGAATTTCAATAATATTTCAGCTGCATTATTTACAACATTAAAAACAGCTGTGTATGGTGCACCAAGGTGTCAGCAATGATGCACAGCTTTTGGATTTTGGATATGTTGCTGTGACTACTTTTTATTTTTATTTTGAATTTTAATAATATTTCAGCTGTATTACACCCGGCACTAAAAACAATTGTGTATGGTGCAGTGAGGTTTCAGCAATCATACACAACTTTTGAATTTTGAATGTGCTGCAATAATTACTTTATATTAATATTTGTATTTTAACCTTCAAAAGCATTTCAGCTGTATTAATTGCAGTGAATGCTGCACTTTGAATCTAAGCAGTATTTTAAATGTTCAACATCTAAAATGTCGAAATTGAAAATGGAAAAATAACTTAAGTCTGACTCACTGAGTTTTTGATAGATTTAAAAAAGTTTTGAGTTGCAATTTGATCCACTTAAATAAGACGTTTTCTTTTCTACACTCTCATTTTTTACACTAATATTTTAGATGGTTAAGGATCTATTGAACCTTCAAGACAGCTAATCGATTACTGAACCTCCGTCATCAAGCTAACTAGCTATATCAGTATACAGGTAATATCAGTTTTTACAGGTAAGGTATGCTCAATACTATTAGGACAATTATTGGCAAGTACATTTTAGTTACAGGTTTATTCAAAGTCCTTTCTCTAAATTAATTACATATAATTAATAACACAATCAGATATGCATGGATTAAAATATGTATTTAAATGCACTGAAACGCTTTGGAGGAAAACAGAGGCGTGTGCATGGATGTAGGTGGTCTAGAATGATTTTCCTTCCGACTGAAAAAACCTGTCTCAGTTCTATGGTATTAACACAAAATAGCGGTACGTTACCGTCGTCTGTTGGTGGCAGCTTTTCCGTTTGCTTGAGACGCTATTATTTCACTGAAGTAGCAACACTTCTACTTCAGTGTAGCGGACACTGCTAATTTATCTGTACCTGGATGGGAACGTTTGCCCACCTGTCCGGACTGTGAACCAATCCGCATACAATACTTATCAGTCCACTCTTCATTTCCTACATAACAAAGCGCTTGAACGCTCAAACACCGCGATATTAGCGCAGCACAGAGTGGTCAACACAGCAAAGAAACACAATATATGACATGAAGAAACAACGAGCACTTATAATATCGCTATTAAAATAAAAAATATAGCTCACTGACCGGTCCGGAGGACTTCTGGGTATGAAGAAATAGCCGAAACACTCTTCTTCTACTTTCAAGGGGGAAAACAGCGTGAAGACACTGCCAGCGCACACCGCCACCTAGCAGACACGGTGCATGTTCCGGTGCAGTATTGAAAATACTAATACTGAAAGAAAACTGAAATCGTGCGCAAAATGTCCTGCATTTGTACATATTTTGTATGTGCCCCTGAAAGGATTTTATAAGAGCTTTTACAGTCACTGTGTGAGGACGTGGGAGGCAGTAGATTTTATGATTTACTGATAGCTGTTTTGTGTACGCACAGAAAACCGTACTGTTCCCCTGTCATTTAATTGTTCACCCCATGATTATGATGCCAGAAATGGCAGCTGGGCTGCTGGTTTAACCTACATTTATATGGATCAGAGACTTTCTGCTGAAATGTCTTCCTGTAGATTTTGGTTTATATTGGAAGAGAGGAGGCCTCTATCGCTCTGCTCCAGGTGGATCATCTACAACCCCAATTCCAAAGAAGTTGGGACGCTGTGTAAAATGTAAATAAATGTACATAAAAACAAAATGCACTGATTTGCAAATCTCATAGACCCATATTTTCCACAGACCCACATATCAGATGTTGAAAGTGAGATGTTTTACCATTTCATGAAAAACATTAACTCTTTTAGAAAATGATGGCAGCAACGCATCTCAGAAAAGTTGGGACAGGGCCGTGTCTACCTCTGTGTAGCATCCCCTCTTCTTTTAACAACCGTCTGTAAAAGTCTGGGAAGTGAGGAGACCAATTGCTGCAGTTTTGGGAGAGGAATGTTGTCCCATTTTTGTTTGATGTAGGATTCTTGCTGCTCAACAGTCCTGGGTCTTCTTTGCTGGATTTTTCATTTCATGATGCACCAAATGTTTTCTATTGGTGAAAGGCCTGGACTGCAGGCGGCCAGTTCAGCACCCAGACTCTTCTTCTGCGAAGCCATGCTGTTGTGTTTACGCATTGTCTTGCTGAAATATGCAAGGCCTTCCCTGAAAGAGACACTGTCTGGATGGAAGCATATGTTGCCAAAAGCTGTATATTTCGTTCAGCATTAATGGTGCCTTCACAGATGTGCAAGACACCTATGCTTCCCATACCATCATGGATGCTGGCTTTTGAACCGTGTGCTAATAACAAGCTGGGAGGTCTTTACTCTGGAGGATGCAGTGTCCATTATTTCCAAAAAGAATTTCAAATTTTGTTTCATCTGACCAAAGGACAGTTTTCCACTTTGCCTCGGTCCATTTTAAATGAGCTTGGGCCCAGAGAAGATGGCGGTGTTTCTGGATTGTGTTGACATATGGCTTCTTCTTTGCATGATACAGCTTTCACTTGCATTTATGGATTGCACGGTGAACTGTATTCACAGACAATGATTTTTGGAAGTGTTCTTGAGCCCATGCAGTGATTTCCAGTTCAGAATCATACCTGTTTTCAATGCAGTGCCGCCTGAGGGCCTGAAGATCATGAGCATCCAATACTGACCGTCGGCATTGTCCCTTGTGTACAGGGGATTCTCTGTATCTTTTGATAATATTATGTGCTGTAGATGGTGGGATGTCCAAAGTCTTCGCAACATTTTTTTGAAATTGTTCCACAATTTTTAGACGCAGTTTTTCGCAGATTGGTGAACCTCTTCCCATTCTTGCTTCTGAGAGACTCTGACTCTCTAAAATGCTGTTTATACCCAGTCATGTGAGTTAGTTGCAAATTGCTCCTCCAGCTGTTTTTTTTTATTAGTACCACTTACTTTTCCAGCCTTTTGTTGCCCCATCCCAACTGTTTTGAGATGCACTGCCATCAAGTTCTAAAGAGTTAATGTTTTTCATGAAATGGTAAAATGTCTCACTTTCAACATGATACATGTTCTATGTTCTACTGTGAATAAAATATGGGTCTATGAGATTTGCAAATCATTGTATTCTGTTTTTATTTACATTTATTTACATTTTTTACACAGCATCCCAACTTTTTTAATAATTGAGGTTGTAATATTAGTCATATATGTTGTGTTGGTACATTCAATAGGCTGAGGTTAAACTAGGACATTTGGTTTTGCCTTAAATGCCTTCATACATAAAATGTTATGCAAATACACTCAAGTAAATCTACACTCATTGTCCCCTTTTATCAGCTCCACTCATGGCCATATCTACAATATGGATGACCTCTGTGACAATATGGATGAAGCCAGTGACTTAACATAATTTTTGAACCATTTCTTTTACTTAAATCTCATAATCATAAATACACAAGAAGCATCATTGTGTAAATTTGGTGGACAGTGGCGTCTATGTCGGGTCGTCACATAGTCAGGATCATTTTGGAATCTTATAGTGATCTCAAGCGAGCAGATGCCCTCTCATTGGCTTACCTGACTGACATTGGCAAGGTCCAAGCTGAGGGGTTAACTCTGGTTGAGTTTAGACATTCTGTAAAGCAGTGGTCACCAACTCTGCCTCCTGCAGACCATCGCTCCAACCCAGATCGACCCCACCTGAACCATCTAATTATCACCTTTAGAAGTCCTTGATTAGCTAAAAGAAGTCTGTTTGGACTTGGGTTGGAGGTGAAGGCTACAGTAAAGCAGATCTGCAGGAGCAGGGTTGGTGACCACTGCTGAAAATCGATAGAATGAGACATCAGCAAAATCAAGACCTTTTCAGCGAAACAGTTTTAGGTTGTCATCAGTGGGTTTGTGGGAATAGGACACTATCACTGTAACGCTCAGGGGCACCAAAAGGATCTTAATTTGGCCTTGGCTCCACTTACCATATACACTGACCGACCACTTCATGAAGTACATCTCTTTGTATCTACAATCATTGTCCACTTACCATATATGAGCACTTTGTTGTTCTACGATTACAGACTGTAGTCCATCTGTTTCTCTGCAGACTTTCTTAGCCCCCTTTCACCCTGTTCTTCAATGTTCTGGACCACCACAGAGCAGGTATTATTCAGGTGGTGGATCATTCTCAGCACTGCAGTGACACTGGCGTTCTGGTGTGATAGTGTGTGTCGCGCTGGTACAAGTGGATTGGACACCTCAGTGTCACTGCTGGATTGAGAATAGTCCACCAACCAAATACATCCAGCCAACAGCGTCCAGTGACCACTGATGAAGGACTAGAAGATGACCAATACAAACTGTGCAGCAGCAGATGAGCTATCGTCTCTGACTTTACATCTACAAGGTGGACCAAGAAGGTAGGTGTGTCTAATAGAGTGAACAGTGAGTGGTCGCAGTGGAACACGCTAAGCAGACCTGATAAGATTAGCGTATAATTGATGACAATACTACTTCAAAAAATCACACAGCCTGTCTGAGAAAAACCTCAATCAAAATGTGTAATATTTCCTTTTTACTATCAAATTCCTTATTTGAATAAATACATTTTGTAAATATATGTTAACAAAATGCTTGAGTTAGCATTTCCATAAACAGTCTTCCTTCAAGACTTCAGACTTTCAGTGGGTGTAAAGAATGTTCCCCACTTGCCTGCCAGGTCACAGGTCAGGTTTAATCTGCCCAGTGTGCGGCGAGCGGGTCATTAAGGATTTGCAGGACCTTTGATAAAGCATGAGACCGGTGAGAGGAAGTTCCTGCCAGGCCACGTCAGATGAATTAAACAAAGAACTCGGTGCTCATTAGATACAACTAGTTCAGCCTTCAGTAGAAATGACTGTAAAAACTAGAAGAACCTTCATGGACTTGATATATTATTTCTAGTCAGTATGTAAATCAAAACCAAATGCACAACATTCTCCCTTTTAATATGGCTTTGACCTCTTTATTCCACCACAATGTTCCCTCTTTTCAGACACCTGAAACAAACTGACCATTACTGACCATTATTAAGGTCATCATCATGGTAAAAATGGCACTGCTTCATGAACTGCCTTGTTATCTTAAATCATATTCATGTTCTGTGAAAAAAATGTCATGTCTTAAATGAAAAGTCTATGTAATGCATGTTAAATCGATGAACCAGACATACTAACATTCAGCACGGTAAAATCACATGTAAACATTCTGTAAAACTGTAGGCTACTGTGGTCAAGGAAGACTGGATAATGTTACATACTGTACAATATGTCAAATTCATCGCGATCCTCATGATTTATCCTTTATATTATACTTCATTGGTTCTCCCATGTCCGAAAGAGACAACAAACTGCACTGCTAGTCATTCATTCCTTAAAAATCCCTTTCAAATAGAATATATACTTCTGTACATGTTATCTGTAATATAATCAGACAAGTGTAAAGGGGAAGGTATCAGAAAATACAGAAAAAAACATGTATAAATATGGAGTAAAAACATAAAAACGAGTCCTTGGTATCTGTGTCATATTAAATGACAGTGGAAGTTTCCATCAGTGACACTCAAAGGTCTGGATACATTAAACTGAGTTTGCTACAAAATTTGGTGACCATTTTCAAGGAAATCTGCTGCTTCATACATACAAAGACAAAAGCTTCTAGGGATGTGCAATGGAGTATTTGGTTCACCATTCCAGGTGCCAATTTTGGAATTCTGAAATCACTATTCCAGTGTTATGTTGCGTCACAGAAAGTCAGGGAGAAAATATACAGGCCAACAGTTCATGAACTTGCTGCACAATGTAAGCTTTGGTGATTTGGAGCCCTCTCTGGTGGAAATGTGTAATTGCACTCAACATGCAAAAGATGGTTTTGGAATGTGGGTTGTGCCTCAGACCGCTTCCCTAATGTTTGTGAGGACACTGTAAGAGCATTCAAAGAGAACTCAATCAAAACTTTGTAAAGGACGTGTCTTCTGACGATGTGAGTAAACTATCTACTATTGTCATCATATCTTCATCAGTATAATGTTGATTTTGCATTTGAGACCCAATTATTCTTTTTGATCCTGTGCGTGTGACGTTAATATGTAAAGACGTATGACATCATCTGAAAATCTCCCACAAAATCCAACCCAACATCTCTGATTTTAAATTATTTTTTCAGGCTTTACAGGCTTTACAAACAGCATATTTTAAACGGTTTTTCCTGGTTTAGCAATATTACTTCAGTTTTAACCAAAAAATTTAGATAATACAGCTTTAAGATTAAGTTATTATCCTATATACTGTTACAAGGAAACATGAGCATTAACATGTGATGAGTTCACAAAGAAAACATTAAAATTCAGGGTTAAAGGTAGCATAAAAATGAATAAAAATAAAGATGGATAATTATCTATGTGGACACACTGCAGTAATGACAAATGGGGTAAAAAAGAATAAAAAATCAAAAAAATGAATTATAAAAAAGAATAATTTAACTATTTAACTTTCTACTGTACCATATACAGCTCCAACTGATCTACTAAATTATATGAACACAGTTTATCTGCAAGATGATTATGACACTCAAGTACCTGAGGCTGTTTCATGAGAATGACCCAACTCGGCTAACTGCTCTAGCTGGCGTAGAAGGTTGAGGGCAGGATTGTTAAACTCAACCATTAAAAGGGCCATGTTAAAAAATCTCAGCAAATCCATGGACCACGTGTTTTTATTTAATTTTTCCTTATCATTCTGCCATGACTTGAATGGGCCATTGTTTCTTCAAAATATGCCAAAACTGCAACAGCAAAATTGGCACTGAATACTTATTTAAAAATAATTCTAAATAAAAATAAAATTGTTTTAGGTATTTTTAAAGCTGCCTGCTTGCTTGAACTAGACACCAGGCATCTTTTCTTTTTGTGTAACCGCTGGTCCATAGATTCCTGTTGGGGGGAAGGGGGGTCAGAACGCACACTATGTTGCAGTGCATGCTGGGGTCTGTAGTGCATCTTAGGGTGAAACGGGCTAATAAGAATAGAAAATGAAAACACTTTTGTAGGCCAAATAGGACTGACTTGGCCCAGAGGCCTTGTGTTGGACACATGGGGTTTAGGGTTAGCCTGGCCACTTCCTATTTCTCCCATTATAACAAAAAGCATGACTCCAAAATACAAGAGGGCGCCCCCGAGCAAGTCCTCAATAAACAAGCATAAATGGAGCAAAATGGCTGAAAATAAAATATTAAACATGTTTCTAGCCTTTATACAGGAACATTCTTTAACTTAGGAAAGTAAAAAGTAAGTTTTTCTTTAAAAACTTGAAGAAAACTTTATGAGCATGTCTGCATTTTTCACATCAAACAGGTTTTGGGGGAAAAAACACTCACATTACTGGTATCGCACACTTATCGGTTGGCATTACGGGCATCATGAATGTCCATAAAACAGTTAAAAAGTCATAAAACAGGAGTTCAAAAGTGCTGAAAATAGCTTTAAATCTTTTATTTTCGTTGAAATATTTAATGCTGTTATTTTTCTGTATGAAAACGATTAAGCACACACAAACTACGATTTCCACAAAAGCTCCACAGGAACCCATTTATTTTGGACTCACTCAGCAATGCCTTCTAGCATCTGACAAACATGGAAGATGTTAATGAGGGTCAGTTCTGCTTATTAGAAATTCTCCCCGGTGTTATCTAGTACCAAAAACAATGAAAAGATATTTTACTGTTGTAAATTTTACCTCAACCAACAAGTCGTTTTGTATAGAGGACGACAAATCGTCACCATCTAGTGCTGCACTGGGTCTGGCGCTAGTGTTAGCTAATTAACTCTTTCAAGGCAGCCCGTTACACAAGTAGAGTGACCGAAAGTTTTCCTTGGGCTGTTACTTTTTAATAAGACAAGTTTTCAGATGACCACCTCTGTGAGCTGCTAGGTTTTGTTCTTTTTACTGTATTTTTACCCTGTCTGTGTGTTATGATATGCTAATATCAGAATAAAAGTCATTTATTTTTCTTCCTGGTGGTTAACTGTATATATGATCCTCATTATCAAAATTAGTCAGATTGCACATCCCTAAACGCTTCATGTTTCACTATTTAAGGAAACAGACGTGTTTCTGCTGCTCTTTCTAAAGAACATACAGCTCTGTGGGAACAATCGACACAATCGGAATGAAGATTTGCTAATCATTGCTAATCATTAGTCTTTTGTCTTTGCAGTGTATCATCACATTCAGTGTGCTGCTTTATTAAAAACATTGTCATGAGACTCCCATGAAGATTGTCTTGACATTGTACTGTATCCAGAACTTGCTGAAATACTTCACCCAAAAGTGCTAATAACGAATGGAAACATGGCTAGTTAGCACTGTGCAAATGAGATTCTGCTACTCCCCATTAGCTTCCATTCACTGTAGCCAAATTAGCATCTTTAGGGGAAGTGTTCCTCTAAAAACAGCTGTTTCTTTCTATGTATCAGGCTTTCAGGCAGGAGCCACTCTATCTAGCCCTTTTCATTGGCCTCTAGCGTTCAAAAGAAGGCTGGGTTGGTGTGCTCAATGACACAGCGCTTGCAGTGGCGCTTGACGAAGCGCAGTGCCTCTAGCGGCACGTCGCAGTCCTGCACGTTCAGCAGCTGGAGGTCGAAGCAGTTAGCCGCCACCACCTGCAGGCCGCGGCCCGTGATGCTCTCGCATGCCTTCACGCTAAGTCTCTTCAGGTTGAAGCAGTTTAGTGCTAGCAGCTCCAGGCCCGCGTCCGACACAAGGGGGCACTTGCCGATGTCCAGAGACTTCAGCTTGGAGCAACTCTTGGCCAGGTGCTCGATGCCATGGTCCGTGAGTCCTTCGCAGCCACGTGCGTTCAGGTAGCGTAGCCGGACACAGTACTTAGCGATGTAACGCACGCCCACGTCTGTGATGCGCCCGCAATGCGCTATGCTGAGGTAGCGCAGGTGACCCTCAAGCTTGGCGATCTCGCGCAGGCCAAAGTCGCTAATGAAGCGGCAGTCGCTAACACTGAGCTCGCGTATGGACGGGCAGTAGATGACGAGGAAGCGGAGGCCCTCGTCGGTCAGGCGCACGCAGCGGCGCAGGTAAAGGTGCGTGAGCTGCGTGCAGTGAGCCGCAATGGTGTGCAGGCCCTCGTCCTCCAGGGCGAAGCAGTCGGTCATGTCCAGGAAGCGGATGGAGATCTGCTGGCCGTGCAGAGGAGAGAGTTTGATGGACGCCTCTCGGGTCAGGCTGATGCAGGTCACCTTAGAGCATCCTGCAAATGAAAAAGAGACAACAACAGTATTTATTAGTGATGCATCAAGATCAGTCTTGATTACAAAAAAAGACACAAACTGAAACTGCTAACAGGCTAATAGCTAATGGCTAATAATGAATGAAAGATGAGGATCATCCGGATTATTCTTGGCTTATAATGAATGAAGGCTTACAGTTGGCAGTTAGCCTTACACTATTGAGAGATCATGCTGGCAGCCACTATCTTTAGCACTCCAGGCTAAATACCAAGCACGCTTTTCACAAAATACGTCATATAATTGTTGGGAATCTCCCCCTGCGAAGTGATAAAAAGCCCTGACTGCTTGCATTAGCTGTCTGGCCTCTTTCTGCTTTAGCCACATAATGGAAAAAAGAAAAAGCCCTTTATCGACTTCAAACTATCAACTTTTCCAAGTTCCATCCATCTTCAAGACACATCATCAGAAGGGGGTGCATCCAGTCTTTAAACTGGAAAATCTCAATCTAGAGACTATTGTGGCACCACTGTAGGAGGCAAGTCAGCAATGGTTCCGTTTTTTTTATGTTGGCCACGTGCTCTTTGAACTGAGGACAAAGTAAGCTTATATCACAGCTATGCTGGAGCCTCAGCTTTCATTTTGAGGAAAGAATATTCAAGACAGTATTATTTGCATAAATCACTATTGCAGAATTCTCATTAATCATATCAAATGCAACAGTTTAATCATTCGGCCAAGTAAAGTTGAACCAAGAAACTGGCTCTACAGTGCTAAGTAAGAGTTAACTCACTGCTCAAGCTTCCCCTTGAATAAAGGAGGTAAAAGGGAGGAGACTTAAACCTTGAAGAAACATCTGAAAAGAGTTATGTCTCATACGGTGGGGCGGGGGGGATTGTCCACACAGAGAAGTTCTGGGGTGCAGTATCGGCATCAACCAGCAGAGGGAGCCATGCTGCATTATTATCCTCTGGAGGAGCATCAACTTGTGGAGACTGAAAGGACGTACTCCAGCAGGAAGTAGTGCAGGAAGTCCGAAATAAAACTCCAGGAAAGGGCTTGGTGGAGATGGAGGAGGATTTTCTGAATTTCTCACTTGCCAGGCATTTCGTATTGTTCTGTCCACAGTGTCCTCCGGCAGGGCTGGATATTGTTTTCGAGGTTGAAAAAGAAAGATGGATGGATTGGGGGGGCTTGTGCTTTGGCTCAGATTCACTAGTTTATCTGGACCATGGGGTGACCATAAAAAAACAATAAATCAGAAGAGATAAATCTGACAGCTTTTCCGCATAGTTTGGGAAACATCCTTTTCGGAGATGTCTCCAATAAAACATCTGAATGACCTAATTTTAAATTTACCCTTTATAGCAAAATCATTCATCTGAGCAACGCAAATCAGTCAATGCCTTTATCAGTCATTCTCTTAATGAGCGGAGCAGACTATCCCAAAGCACCTTGAAGTCAGAGGTCCTGGTCCTGCAAGGGCTTATTTTCCTCTTGGAAAGTAGAGCGCTTGGACAGAAAGCCAGAGCTATTAATACATTTCCCAGCTCCAAAAGGAAGTCGTGGACATTTCGGAATAATCTATGAGGAAAAAAAAGAGCCCCACAGCTGTCTCCAGTGATGAGCAGTGAAGTGGAGTAGAAACAGTTGCAGTGGCTGGTTCGGGCCATGGCCGTGTTTGGGCAGAGCGGTGCATCGGTTCAGACTACTTTTAGAGGAAAAGCTTGTTGGGGAAAAAAATGTAGACAGTTTTCATCTTATCCTAAAGGTTATTAATCAGCCAAAATGTGTTTAGTGTCTGAAGTTTGCTCCTCTTTAGTTTTGCGCTGGAACTACAAGGCTAATGTAGCCAACCAGTTTTGGAAGCTTATACTAGGCTTGTGAGATTGTGTGCAACATATCATCATCCGATCAAGCCCCCTAGCTGTCGCTGATGGGCAATACTGTTGTGGTTGGGGGATGTGGTGGCAGGCAAGCAAGAGCCACTGCTTTTCAAAAAAAAAAATTAAAAAGTAAAAAAAAAGAAACACACAAAAAAGCACCCATGCAATTAAGGTGCCTCAAATTTTACCTGCAGGGCTGCTATTATCCAACAAACAAGAAACCTCTCAGTCCAGATTCGCTGCACCTTTCTCCAATAGCATGTTTCAGCATGGCAAGTAATGTGGTAACGCCACAGAAAAGACTGTGCAAACCACAAACCTGATAACTTACTAAGCTATCTTTGTTCTGACAGTCACTTTTCTCTGTACGTTTTCACTCCAAGGCCATAAATATACTTTCAGTATATTTAAAAAAAGTAAGGCAGGTCACTCTTCTCTAATGTCCATGTTCAGTGGCCGTGGCAGTTGGAATGACAGAAGATCTTGTTCTGATTTGTCCTCTGTCGCTTTCGAGTACTGAGCGTTTCAACTGCCACATGTAAGAACATCTAATGTAAGAATGCAAGTTTGTACAGAAGGACAGGGCATTTGCAAACCATTGGCAGGACACTGCCTAAAATAGGGGTCGGCAACATGTGGCTCCGGAACTGCATGCGGCTCTTTTACTGACCTTTTGTGGCTCCACAGAATTAGATTTGTAGGTAAAAATAAAATAATCCTCCTTTGCAGTAAAATAAAGCTCTGCTGATCGTTCAACACAGATTTAACAATAAATGGTCTGGAGAACACTGGAGTTAATGTGGCCTATAACTGCTAATTCAATCCTTTAACCCAGAAGTTTGGTGCGCAGACTGCTGGTCACCACAGCAACGCAGACAACAATCTGGCCTAGCTAGTAGTTAACGAAAAGGCAAAGAGAAAGATTTAAGACGAACGTTGATAATTCGTAGCCGAACGGACCTGTTTGCGTTTATAAGCACTATGAAGTCAGCCTCTTGTTCGAATTTTCGCGTTCCACCTTAAATAGTGCAGCAGTTATATTCTGGTGCCATTTAAGGTGGAACGGGACAATTTGAACAAGATGCTGGCGAATGAGAAGCTGACCTCAGCCTCATAAAAAGCGAATGTTGAGAGACATTTTACAAGAAACTATTCTACTTTTGAGGAAAAGTTTCCTGCCAGAGATGCGAGAAAAGCAGCTTTATCTGAGCTAAAGCTTGAAGCAGAGCAAAGTAAGTTTGCATTTTCATTTATATTATATTTTTAGCCCATACTAGTACATTAGCACATACTGAGACATATTTACAGCCAAGATGGTAAAATGGGCATAACATGTTGTGGCTCCCAAGGTGGTGTGATTTTTATTGAAAGGACAAAATGGCTCTTCTTAACATTTGGGTTGCCGATCTCTGGCCTAAAACATCACCCATCTTAGAACTTTACTTGAAATCTGCTGCATAACACTGACATACCATAACCATGTCATGGCAGCTGCTGTTACAAGTTATTATAAGCCATTGTGTTTATTACTGTAACAGCGTCATGTTACTGCTACTGTTTATTGTAACCTAGAGATGCCACATTAGTTTGATGTCATGACAGCTTATGTCACATGCTGACAAATCTGTTACAACAATTAAGCGTAATGATAAAATGGCACTGAACATAGTCTGTATCATAATCATGACAGCTAATTTTAGCATATGACATCTGCCATGATGTGTTTATGACCTGGCTATGTCAATGTCAAGTAGCAGGGTTCAAGTAAAATGTTACCAAGACATCTAAAGCCCAGTTCAGACCGGATTAAATTTTCATGGAGTTCTTTCCTCTTTCACAGGTGCTACTCAGTGATTTTATTTCTGTCTAAATCAACCATGTATTTGTGTTTCTCTCTCCTCTTTTGAGATGATTCCAGGCCAAATTACTGTTTTTCACCGAACACTGAGCTGTGGTCTGTTCATTTTAGTCCTGTCCAGACACAAATTTCTGTGATTTTCCAGGCAGATGTTGCCGCATATTGGAAATGAAGGCTTTTGACAGCTGCTGCTCGCTATATTTGGTGTCTTAGCGCAAAGTCCACATTAAACACTTCCCTAACTAGAACATGATGGATGCTTTGGAAGAATCTTTCAACCATTTACTCGGTTTGGGTGGTAGAAATTCCCCTCCATCCTCTCTACACTCAGCAGGAGAGTGAAAATCAATCAGAAAATGAAGATCCTGCAGGCTGATTAAAGGCATGATTATAATGGCAGCTACAGGTGCGAAGCATTCCTTTATATTCATAAATGAACATCAAATTTTCGTTTTCTTGTAATAATGAATATATGACCATGCATGATGCATATATCCAAGTTTGTAGAAAATACAACCCACTAGAAACTTACACGTCCTGCATGTATATATATATATATATATATATATATATATATATATATATATTTATCCTGAGATATATATATCTCAAATATTTTCCCTCAGAAAATCAAACATGTCATTTGTACCTTCTATACACAACTGTAATTCATCATGTAAATAACCTTGTATTTAATTATGTAAATATGTATGTACAGTGCTATGAAAAAGTTTTTGCCCCTTCTTCTATTTTTTCATATTTGTCAAATTTTGAATGTTTCAGATCATCAGACTACTTTTAATATTAGACAATGATAACCTAAGTAAACACAAAGTCCTGTTTTCAAAAGATAATTTAATTTATTAAAGGAAAAATGCTGTTCAGCCATACCTGGCCCTGTGTGAAAAAGTAATTGCCCCCCTAGCTACTGAATCATCTAGTAAATAAATCTTTATCTTCAATAAAGTGTTTTCTTTATCATATATTAAAATAAGTTTAATAATCTGAAGCATTTAAGTGTGACAAATCAGCAAAAATAGAAGACATTAGGTGAGGGGCAAATACTTTTTCACAGCAATGTATGGCAAAGTGAAATTAAAAGCTCCAGATATAAAGACCAAATGTACATGTTGAGAAGACAAACAATGAGAAGACTAACAATATTAATAAAACAACAATGCTTTATTTTTTAATTTGAGATTTCCTTTCCTCTACTCTGCAACACAAGCTGCGTACCTGAAACATCCAGGTGCTCCAGGTTAGGGCATCGTGAGACCACCTCAAACACAGCCTCATTGGACACGTTGTAGCAGCCAGCCATCTCCAAGCGCCGGAGCTCTGGGCAGCACTGCGCCACCGTGTACAGGCCACGGTCGGTGAGCCTGCGGCAGCCGCTGACCACCACTGTCTCCAGCGTCAGGCAGACGTTGGGCGTGTCCTGGCAGAGCCGGCGCGTGAGCACCCGCAGAGCACGGTCCACGTGCAGCACGTCACCCGTCAGCCGCACGGTCCGCCACAACCGCGGGTCCCACGCCAGGTTGTACCAGCGGCGGCAAACCCGCGCGCAGCGGCACAGCTGATTAGTGGGCAGATGGGCAAAGATCTGCAGGAAAGCGTGGTCTGGCAGAATGTCAATGGGCGCCCCCTGCTGGTCCCGGGGCTGCCGTAGGCACCGCTGCGGGTGTGTAAGGCCTGCAGGAGGTGGAGAATGCACCATTGCAACCGTCTCCGCGGTGAAGGAGGAAGAGGAAGTGGAGGAGCCATTGAAGAGGGCAGGCGAGGAGCGAGGAAGGATGAGAGCTGGACTGGGTGTGCTCAGAGTCCGCATGCTCACGTCAGAATCTGAGGAGAGAGGAAGAGAAATATGCTGAATGATGCTGGTCTAGGGCTGGTCTGGTGCTGGTCTGGTGCTGGTTTAGCTGGTCGCCCACCATGGTCATGACAGTTGACCAGCAGACCAGCATCCAAAACACAACATATGCTGGTTTTGCTGGTGACCAGCCAATGCAGCCTAATGACTTAGCTTTTCACAGATGCACAACATTACCTTTGACCAGTCAGTGCATGCTAGCTTTCCCACCACGGTGTTCTGACAAACCAAACCACATCCTGAAGATGCAAAGTCATAAACATCGCTAAAATCGATCATGTTACTAACATAACTCACCAGAATGTCATATTATGTTCATTAGAAATATTTATCAGCTAAAAACTGTAGAATTGTTAATTAGCTTAAAACTCATTTAACAGCTCATTTTGTAAACAGTTTTCAATCAGCTCATCCTTGAAACCTGTTCACACAGAGCTCATCTAATAAACTAGCAAGTTTAAATATTAAGTTAAATGCTGCTGCAGCCTGAGGAGCCATAACATTACACACATCTACATCTACATATTTACGATTATATTGCTTGTTTCAGCTACTACTTATTACATACTGTGGCTCAAAATTCTTAACAGGCTTTTTAAAAGCACCATGTTTTTCCATCAAATTTTAGCTCTTGGTGAACGGAACCTCAGTTTGTCAGAACATTGCCAAACATATTATTATTGCAGCTCTTCACATTTAAGCCAATTCATTATTAGTCAATGACTTCACATGAATAATTGAATATCAGGATTTTGCAGATTTTGTTCTAACTGTGATCAAAACATGACTTTAGATGATATATGACTCATATTACTTTGAATTTTGATGCATCTCACCCCCGCCTTAGCCTAAAAATACATGTTTTAACATAAGTGTAAACTTCCACTTTTTTATTTTACCTCTCTTCTACGTCTCAGAAATCTTTCTGAAAGTGCAGAAAGAGATCTCATGCTTTTCTCATTGTGCTCCACTTAAATGCTTATGTAAGCTCGTCTTTTCTGTTAAGAGGGGTTTAGGACATTTCATTCTCCTTCATTAATACAGTACTGAGATCTACTTTACTGATATTAGATACTTAGATTAGATAATAAAGATTTACTTTGGATTTTCCCTTTATTCCTCATGTAGGCTCTCGGTCAAGATATGTTTCGTGTCTAAAGTTTGCTCCTTTAGTTTTGCCCTGGAGCTACGAGGCTTAAGTCACTGCTAGAAAAAAACAGCACAGGCCAGCATGGCTGGTTACCAGCAAAACCAGCATATTCTGCGTTCTGGATGCTGGTATGCTGGTCAGCAGCAATGGAAGTTGATTTGCTGATCACCAAAAAAAAGCATATGATGTTTTCTGGAAGCTGGTATGCTGGTCAACCTGCCTGACCATGCTGGGTGAGGAGCTAAACCAGCACTAGACCAAGATAAACCAGCTAAGACCACCACAGAATTCATGCTAATCTGTGCTGTTTGTTTCAGCAAGGGTAGCTAATAAATTGTACTGACGTCCAAACTCAGTGCAGTGCAACCCGCATACCCAAATTATCACACACTTGCCTTGAACTGCGTCAAGCTGTTAAGTAGTTGTGAAGTCAAACAGATTTAGCTAGATATAGATAGATAGATAGCTTAGCACTGGAGCTACGAGGCTAATGTAGCTAACAACCATCACAAACTTGCCTCAAGCTGTGTTGAGTCGTAATTTCAAACAGATTATCTTATGTGGTTTCTGACACTGTATGACATGCTGTCATCTATAAAAATGGACAAAACTACATTGCGAAGCTAAAAACAGTAGCCTCATTTTTTCTGTACTTTTGTGCCAACAGAACATCTCACAGTAACAGAAACCACATAAGCTACTCTGTTTAAAATTACGACTCAACACAGCTTGAGGCAAGTTTGCTACACTAGCCTCGTAGCCCCAGTGCTAAGCTAAAGAAGCAAATATCTGACACCAAAGATCAGATCTCCATTTGTGGTAAGGGAAGAAACTGTAAACTGGATTTCTCAGGAGTTATTCCTTCGGTGAGACAGAGAGAAAAAGACCGAGTTTTACCCACAGCACTCTGAAATTCATTATGTAAAAGAGACAAGCCGTTGAAATGCTGTGAGCTGATCTTGGTTCTTTTGTTCTTGAGTCATTTCCTCTGTAAATCTATTATCTGTCCTCACCTACAACATGCTGGTCCTCGCAATGCGCTAATGGCTAAGATGTACAGTGAGTTTAAGGAAATGCGACCACTTGACCAGTACAGCTGAGGAAGCCATATTTACAGACGCTAATCTCCAATGACAGACGCTACATTTCCTCAGCTGCTGAGGCCCTCCGGTCCACTCAAATCCCCCCCCCTGGCTGGACACATGCCATGCACCCAGGCCTCAAGCCCCTCTCCCTACCCCCAATGTTACTAAGCGCTAATGCAGGCCTCGAGGCCTAGCAATGCTTTCCAAATGGTGAGGGCTCACGTGTAACATGCGAAACAGACTAAGCAAACATGCTAGTCTACTAACAAATCATGTGCCGCTCTATTCTTAGCTTGCATATGCGCTGACGTGTGGTTTCTGCTGAGCATTTAAATTTTATAAATCATTCAAATGTTGATCCAGTTGGAGGACATCGCACCACATAGAGGATTAGAGGTTCAATTCCCCATTCAGGTTGGAATACAAGTGATACACCAATAAGAGTATGTAGACACACACACCACTATACTAACAATAGTCTTTGACCAAGACCCCTAATGCTACATCTAGCCTCTGTCAAATCATGTAAAAAGATTTACATAAAATAATGTAAAATTTTATAATAATAATAATAACTGTAATGTCTGATCTATAATCTTGTGCCTCAACAACTAAATATAATACCACATTTTTTAGAATTTAATGTCCATAATGTCCATCCATGAAGACACCATAACAACTCCCTACCAACTGCCTAGCACCCACTTAGGACACCATATGCAGGGATATTTTTCCACACTTCAAGTTCAGTCGTAGAAGTTGGTTGTCGTTTCTGCTTCTGACAATCCAAGTTATCCCAATTACAAATTTAGACTTAGTCCATAAAACCTTATTCTACATCGCAGATGCCCAGTTTTGGACATAACTTGTTTCACGAACATAATTACACATACTTTCTGGCCCAGAGTTAAGAGTTGTCTTCTCATGGTGGAAGCATGGCCAGAAACGCCTGAGGATTTCTCAGATCGGACGCAAGAGTGGAGCTTGATTTTCTCCTCGCTTTCAAAGATGAAGTACTGGTTATCTGATGGGGACAGTTTTTTGGTCTACCAGATCTTGCAATGTTGTTAGGAGGTCACCTGTAGCTTCTTATCATTTTTTAATGTGTGCACATGCATTAAATGTCCAAAGGTATCCAGACACCCATTCTAATTAGGGAAATTTAGCTACTGTTAGGTGCACCCATTGCTTGTATAATCTCCATAGAAATCCAACAGAATAGATGCTCTAGAGCAGCCACACATGAGCCCAAGGTCACCATTCCCAATGCTAAGCATCACTTAGAGGAGCATAAAGCCCCCCAGCTTTAGACTGTGGATCAGTTGAAATGTGTTCTCTGGAAAGATGAAGCTCCATCCACTACCTTTGGGATGAATTGGAGTTCAGTTCATATAGCTGAATGCAAGAACATCCTTACAGCGATATTGACACATCTAGTGTCAATAGGGGGGACAAACCCCCTGTTATTAGCCCTGATTGGAAGAGCAGGTGTCCACAACCTTTTGGACATACAATATATGTAAGAGTTAAGACCAGACATTGTGATATCACAGTGTGACATGGCCGTTTATACAATGATACAGTGCTATGGGCCACAGGGAAAGGGGTTGCCAGGTTCAGGCTTTTAAGAAGCTTTAAGTGAACAACATCTGATGCTTACGCTGTATGTAATCCATTTACCAAGGATCAGAAGCAGCAAGGCTATTACATCCATTAACATGGCCTCACCTCTCCACAGTACTGTTCTTCCTGGCAGATGTTTTTTGTCCCTAACAATTCACATTAATAACAGGAGGACACAGTAGGATTTAAAGAGGAAGCCACGTTCCTCCCCATATGGCTCCATAGATGAGAAGTGTTTTCCCATCATGTGGCAGCTTACTGGCATTGTGGTAGCTGGTTTTCTAGTTCACTGCCACCATGTGTCCCCATATGGAAACCACATCGCCATAAAAACAGCAGCCATCCAAAACAATTCCAGCCCAGGAAGACTTTTAATAAAGCAATATGCCATGAGAATTCTTGAGTTTTTGTGTTGTTAGACACAAAGTGAAGTAAAACCCACTTTAACATGGTTAAATCAGTGTTTCCAGCAGCTTGTTGCTTTATAAAATGGAAACAAAATTCAAAATGATATACCAATGCCCAAGAAATAAGTATGTTTTTTTTATTAACAATAATAGCAAGAAACATCTCTTCCGACATGCAGTATAGCTTATTAACAGGAGGCTATGGTTGCTAAGAAACATTGACATGCGTTTAATAACTTCAAGCATCAAAGATCCATCACACAGAAAGCTTTATTTCCCTCACTTTGAGTTTCAAAACAAACCTTTCACTCTTCAGTCCATACAGTCCATAATCGGGAACTAATCTGCTGCTTGTGATTCAGTTTCTGTGATGTCACAAAAACCAACATATTTACATATATCTGTCTATTCAGCCTATAGCTGTTTAGCCCTTGCTACCTAGGCTAGGACATATAGCAACCGCCTAGCAACTGCTTAGGAACCACTAAGGAAAGCATAACAACTGCCTAGCAACTGCTTAGCATCCACAAAGGACAGCATAGCAACTGCCTAGCAACTGCTTAACAACCACGTAGGAACATAGCAACAGCCTAGCAACTGCTTAGGAACCACTAAGGACAGCATAGCAACTGCCTAGCAACTGCCTAGCAACCACTTAGGACACCAAAGCAACTGCCTAACAACTGCTTAGGAACCACAAAGGACAC